GAAAATAAACATGACAGCTAGTAGATGGATTGTTGATACAATCAAAATATATTGATTTCTACAAGTCAACTTAACGGTACATACATTCCTATGTATGTATGTATTTATAATTTATTAACTGAATTATCCCAAATATTAACTCCAAATATGGTGAAAGTGAAAGTGTCTGCCTTCAGAGTGTTGTTTTAGAAAGTTTGAGTTTAATGAATATATGCAAATAATTTAGAGAACTCAATTCTTATGCAATAACTATGCTGCAACGTATGATTAGGGCTGGCAATCGATACAGCTTTCAAGTATCGATAAAACCCCTGACCATCCGCCAATCGATAATATCGACAAATTAATTTTACTTACAACTTGACATATCTTTGTCGCGAATGACCAGAACAATAATAATGAGTAAAATGTAGTTATTTCCCTTTGAAACAGTTTCAGCATCTAGTTCACAGTCACTGGGGTTTTTTTTCGCGTAGTGATTGCCTGTATGGTGGCTTAATTCATGTTTTCGACTCTTGGTCACTATGAGATCTATATAATTTCAATATTCCACAGCACCTGATGTCATGAATTATTTGCTCTCATCATAGGTGGCCGACAGTTCTTAGCACTGATATTTTTACTCTGTGTCGCTGGCGTCTCGCGTCAAAAAGAAAACGTGTGTTGTGAATGCCGAGCTAGGCCCAAGCACGCGTTGCAAAGAATACTGTGATAAGTATTATCTTTTATGGATTTATTCTTACAAGTGAAAGTCTTGAAATGACCTAATTTGTGTTCAGTGAACGTTAAACCCCATTTCTATATATCTCACAAGTGACTACTTATAATTGCGCGATTATCGATATTATAAATCTGTATTGATTATCGATCTTCAAAACACTTTACCACCAACGATTATCGGCAATATCAATATTTTCTACCAGCCATACATGTACATTTGTACTTATAATTAATTTTAAAGAAACTAAGCGTCTTTGATCTACATTGTAGGTCAAGATAAAGTATTTAGGTTTAATCTAATGTGTTATTTTATTTAGTGATGGATATAAGATCTGTATAAGATTAATGTTAGACATTAAGTGAAATTCTTTAATGTGGTTGTAATAAGTTGTATATTGCTGTCGTCCCCTTCCGTCCGTCGGTCATCTACAATTTCTTGTGAACACTCTACAAACTACATTTATCATCGGATTGTTTTGAAATTGATATATGTTGTTTACATTAGTGAAATGAAGAAGCCTATTTAAGTTAAATAATTTCTGTTAATTTCTTCTGGAGTTTTGTCCCTTGTTTCACTTTGTTGCACCCTGTGAATGCTCTAACGACAATAGTTATCATCCGATCTGTATGAAATTTATATGCATGAATTAGTAACACGAAGATGCCTATTGAATTTCAGCAATTTCTTTTAATTACATCAAGAGTTATGGCCCTTGTTTCACTTTGTTGAATCTTGTGAACGCTTGAACAACAAAAGTTATCATCCTATCTGTGTGAAATTCATATGCATCATTTAAATTAGTAAAATGAAGACATCTTTTGAATTTCAGCAATTTCCGTCAATTACTAATAGAGTTTATATAGCACTTGTTTTACTTTGTTGAACATTGTCAACGTTCGAACGACAAAAGTTATCATCCGATCTGTATGAAATTTATATGCATTGTTTGAAAAAGCCTGTCGAATTTTAACAATTTCTGTAGATTTCTTCCAGAGTTAAGGCCCTTGTATTATTTTTTAGAAACTTGTGAACCCTCAAACGACGAAAATTATGATGTCATCTGTACGAAATTGTCTATTAAATGCATCTAATTACAGCTACAAAAGAATAAATATGGGACAACCCTTGTCGACCGCTCTGACGATTTAGCTGCTGTGGGCATATGTTTCGTTGCCTGGCAACCTATCTTAAATAAAAGTTGAGTGTTGTCGTTTTGGTAGGTGTATTTAGATAATGCTATCTAGGTAAATAAAAAAAACTTTTGGTATTATGAAATATATTTTTTATAAATCAATAGAAAATTGAATATACTTTGAGAAATAGAGGAAAGATAATCTAAATAATAGTTTTCCTGTTTTATCAATTATTGATTTTTGTTTCAATATACATTTTTGGTTCCTCTAATAATAAGATCTTTTGTCGACTGATAAGATTACAGGATGTTGACCATTGTGAGACTGGTAGATTGTGTCTAGTCACTACTTACATGTACTTCTACACTAGTAGTTTACACTACTGAAAATTGTTTGGAATGGTTCTAGGTCTGGGTATTGGAAATTATATTGCATGTGTTTCTGATACTGTTAATGATATTTGTTGAAATTATAAAGGATTCATTAGTTTTCTTTCCTTAAGTGAAACCTGGATGTAGACCTTTAATTAATTTTCGAAATTAAATTGTAAAAGTTGTTTAACTGATTTATGCTTTGAATATTATAGTGTGTTGAGCTTTTTGTGAATGTAGCAGATGTGTCCTGGAATTTTCAGAAATACATAATTTACATTGACTTTTAAAACAATATGGAATCAATCTTTAAAAGAGAAATGTTTTCATTGAAACCCAACATCTTAGTCTTAGTAAAGAAAAGACAATTTGTTGCTTCGTGAATTGTACAATATAACTTGAAATAACATGTCTGCTCTGAAAGTGTCTATTAGATTATTCTTTAGAAAGCATCCATGTTTTCCTGCAATACCATAATCAACAAGCTAGACATATTCTCTTCAATTTTTTTTTACTTGGATTGAATCTGTATTGACAATCAACATCAAGTGTACTGAACTCTAGATCGTTATAAAGGATTTTTTTTTATCTCAGTCTTCCTACTTCCAACAGCTTAATATAAGAATATTATGCCTGTCTGAGCTAGAATGTGGTGCACTGTAAGGTATCAGAAAATTGATGCGTCTGGCTTTTAAAATGACATTAAGAAAATGTCACAGACAAGGTTTTTCTGCTTCTATGTAGTGATGTAGGTGAAGGCTGAAACACAGAAAAATATATGTTAAAATGCCAAACATATTCATTTCTTGGAGGTTTTTTTCCTAATATTTGTGTATAGAATTTCTGGACAGATATTCTTTAATATTTGGATGTTTACTTTTGTAGAATCTGTTAGTTATTGGCAAGTCTGTGTCACCTGAAGAACAGACGGTTTGTGTTGGTGGTTTTATTTCAATTTGCAAAAATAAAAATGCATTGAAAACAAAAAATGTTAATGGATTAAAACATTTCTATTCGTTGAAAGGTCAGGCATTAATTTGGATGGTGTGGGTTGTCAGTAAATAACATTGAGATGTAACTGCACAAAAAATTACAACGGCTGTCTGTAATTTTGACATAAAATTTTAGTCCAGAGATAGAACAAGTTGGGAGTATTATACAAATGGGTTTAGTCTGGAAATGCTTCATGATGTATCAAACATGCTTATTTATGTCAGGGCTTTGTACCCATAATTTTTTTGAGATTTTCGATTTTATTTATTAGATTTTATATCTGAATAGATTATAATCAGTTGTAATATTCACATCAATATTTTTAAATAAGGAAAGAAACCTGATGCCATTTCCTTATTCTATCAAGGATGTTATTTTTAAAGACACAATTTGTCAATTTAAGAATATAGTTTACATGTTGTTAATATCTGTTCAGACATCACAAATTGGTGTAGACATTGTTTTTAATATCTTCATGGAAATGTGAATTTCACTTTTTATCAAGAAGACTAATTGTTAGATTTTTCAGTTGGCATGATATAATTGGATAATAATGTATCTATACAATACAATTGAAATGTGTAATTAAGTTTGAATTATTGAAAGGTCAAGTGATAAATTTATCTTGATGATTGAATTATTTCAATAATTGAATGTCAGCGAGGACAGAGGTTGTATAAGTACTGATAGAATAGTTTTAGCCTTGGTAATTGTATAGAGTCTGGGCTATTATTATACTCTTCTCTGACCAACAGCTGTTAATCCAATCAGATTGATTTACGCTCTAGTGCCACTCGATGGTCAACAATGAAAGGAACCAATGACTAGTAAAATAAATGATACAGTATATTTATAGTCACAGTTTGGTATTCAGTATGTTTATTCTAAAGCTTTTCTTCTCAGAAGGGAGATGGAGCATTATTATGATTATGGTTGTACATAGGTAGAAAAGTGATTGATGTGTTGCTGTTACTATTCAATATTTATTATTTAATATGAAATTTATTAAGCGTGTTCTTGTCAAGAGAAGTTTACATACTGTGACTTATGTGTGTAACACACCTGGGACAAATGAAAACAAAAATATCAATTTCTCTGCCAACTTCACATGATGGCAGTAGTGACAGCTGTTCTGTGTCTGATACAACATGTCATAGTTTCAACATGGATACGGATGTCGACACGGTTTTACTTTCTCCATTCAGGTTAGTACAAAATCATAGTTTTAAATTATATGATAGGCTTATTATTCATATTAATCTAGCACTAACTAGCAGAAAATCAAATGAAAGTACATGTAAGTTTGATTAAAGTTGGATTATATATATATATGTTAGTCAGTGTAGAATAGTTAGCTGAACCATTGACCCTATAATATATATGTTTAAAGTAATATCAAAATAATTATGGTAAGTTTTCTAATATATTCAAATTTGTTTATTTTTTCTGCATGTACCATGTAGTATTTTAAATAGAGCACATGTACATGACATGTATACGAATTTGTATATGCAAGGTTTGCAATCATATTAACTGTTTAACCCGTTTCAGAGCGTATATCTATAGTATATATGTCAGTGTCTGTGGGCAAAACCTCAAAATATGTTTTAAAATTTAAGACTTCTTTCTTAATCTTCATTGATTTGGTGAATTAAGCAAATTACTCCTTTATAAAAGATCTCTGATAATTGTCAGGATAGACTCGGGTTCATTTTGCTTCTTATGACAATTTTCATTTTGAATGTAATGATCTTGTTTGATATGATATTTTGATATTTTCAGATTACTTGACAAGTTACTTGTAGTTTGTCCAAATGTAGATTATTGTGAAGAAGTTTTAACCAGATCAGAATTAGAAGCACATCTTCTTCATAGGTAAATATAGCATATACTGTCAATCATACCGTCAAAACAATTAGTTTATCTATTCAATCCTATTAGTTGTACAAATAAAATGGAATATGAAGATTGGCCGTAGATGAATGTTTCAATAAGGATATTTAAACATATTTATTTGTGAACAGTATTAGATTTTAAATGCAAGTTGTCCAACAAGTGAATCATTAATGAGTCATTTATATATTAGTATGGGTAAAAAAAAATAATTTGATAATTATATGATTGATTTACATAACGTATAGCGTAAGGTAATAAAACACACCTGTACTCTATACCTATTGATTATATAAGCTTATTTATAATTAACCCCCTTACCTGTCAGTCATCCTGATATCTAGATTTTTAGGATAATCAACTCAATAAGATATTTGATGATGATCTCCAGATTGATGTGGAACGATTATTTCCTTATACTTGCCGATTTCATATTTTAGCCAGATATTTCACAGATTCCCAACATTTCTTACTGTAATTAGCCATTCAAAAATAATACCGGTACATATGATTGAAATATTGCTTATATAATTATTGATAAAATTGCTTGTTATTATTGATTTCATTTGTTTAAAAAATCCATCTTATACGCCAAGAAAGATCTCTTTACATTTGACAGTGATCTCAAGATGATCAGTGCCGAGGTTCACATGTAGTATTTCAAACTATTTTGTAGATGTCGAGGAGCTGTGAAAAGGTGTATCAAAGCTAGTCTAGGATGTCCATTCCAAGGTCCACGAAGTGCCTTACAGAGTCATCTGTGGGAATGTCCCTTCCGAGACCAACAAGCCGGTTTGTAAAATTTTGATTTAATGTTGTTGTTTTTTTTTTAGTATAAAAAAAACTTATAAAAGAAAATATGACTTTATCAGTAGGCGTTTCCTCCTTTTGATGCATCTTGTGTTTTGGAGGTAAATTAAGTCTCACAGACATATTATTGATTAATATCAATGTCATGATTGAAATTATGCAATACAGGAAATAGCTGCATGATTCATGACATTTAAACACCACTATTGCATGCAGGAGTATATTCTTGTCACTCTGTTTGGTCTGTCCATTAACTACTTCGTACATGGTACCATATTTAAACCCTTATAAATTAAATACAACACAGAGCTTAAAATAGTCCTTTTTATATGTCCACATTCATAATTTGAACGTATTATGCCGTCACCCTTGTCTGTGTCGCCTACAGGGCGTAATTCTTAATGGATTGTCTTGAAACTTTGTATACTTATTCCTTATACCCTAAGGATGATCCCTATTGTTTTGGTTGCATGCCCGACACCCAGGGGCAGAGAGATGCCCATTTTTTGTATTTGTTTGTCATCTACAGGCCACAATTCTTAACAGATCCTTTTGAAACTATGCATACTCATTCCTTATGTCCTCCAGGGACAGAGCCACGCCTATTTTTTCTTTGTGTGTCTGTGTGTTGCCTACAGACCACAATTAGAATTTGGTTTATGTATTTCTTACAGCCTAAGGATGGCAACTATGATGCACAATCTGCCCCCCCCCCCCCACCTTGGGCAGTGCCACACCTACTTTTTGTTAATATTTTGTCTGTAAATAATCTACAGGTTGCAGTTATTAACATATTTGGATCCAATTCAGTATGATCCATTACAAGGTTGTAAAGCCACGCACAATTTTTGTGCTTTTTGTCTACAGGCTGGAATTCTGAATGGACCATCTTGGAATTTGGCATATTTCTTCCTTATACCGTAAGGATAGCAACTATTTATTTTGGTGCATGTCCCGACCCTCACACCTACCTTTTTTGTGAATTTTTGTGTCTGTAAATACCCTACAGGTTGCAATTTAGACAGAATTTGTTCAAATACAGCATATCAGTCATTTCAATAACAGGGTTGTACCTACTTATATTGTTCCATATCCACCCCCCAGGGACAGAGCCACACCCATTTTTGTGTTAATCGTCTACTGGGGGCAATTCTGAACAGATCATCTTGGAATTTATTCCCTATTTTGGGGGTTAGATGGCCGAATGGTTAGCACAAGTGCGCTGAATCATAAAGTCTGTCATTGAGTCAACTGGTGTGGTTTTGATTCCCTGGTTGTACGTGACAAGGAGTAGGGTCGCCCGCCTGTCCAATCTCTTGTTTTTTTCTCCGGGTTCTCCGGTTTCCTCCCACTGCTAAAGACCCCTATGTGCAAGCAAATTATTGAAATAAAATTGAACCATGTGTTAGTCCCGATATGACCCAGTTTGTGTCGAGTGGACGTTAAAACCTCTCTCTCTCTCTCTCTCTCTCTCTCTCTCTCTGTTATTTTGGTGCATTCCTCTTGTCATATCACAGTCATTGCAGCCATTCATAGTTCATGCTCTTCATTTTAAAAAGTACCATATCAATCAAAGCAGGAATGTGGACTTATATTGCAGCAGTAGCAATACTCTTGTTACATATCAAATAAGTTTCATTAATGTGAAAAAACAAAAACAAAAAACGGCATGTTGAACAAATGTCTTTGTTTCATGTATGAAGTAATTGATGGATCGAACCAACGGTGTGACAAGAATATACTCCTGCATGCAATAGTGGCATTTAAAAATCATGAATCAGGTAGTTATTTCATGTATCGCATAATTTCAAGTTATAGACATTCAAAACAGTTAGAAGCACTTGGAATTTTCACACAGTTTTTACGTACACTAGCTAAGTGGGTAAGACGCTGGCTCGCTAGCCTGGAGATCGGGTGTTCGATTCCTGCATTGGCCGAGAAAGTTCATCCAGATTTTCCGGCATGGTTCCCCCTTGTCAGTGATGCAGGAAGGAGGGCCTGACAATTACAGCTGCCTAGTCATTCTGATGGGACAAAAAAAACGAGGTCCTGTGTACACATTGGCATGCCCGTAAAGGATCCCTTGACAGTTGAAATTCGATATAAAAGTTGGCCGTAGTGCCGCTGTCCGGGCCAAATTTCCCTCATAGCACACTGTATGGCGTATGCCCGTCTTCATTAACCAAGTTCGGAATAGGACGTAAAACCCCATTTCATTTTTACGTACACAGTTTCAATCAGATTGATTTCTTATTTGAGCTTTTATGTTTAAATTCTATCAACCAACATGAAAGAGAAATTCTATAGTCTTATAAACATTTAATATCTATGAAATCGAGAACTAATGAATGGTAACCTTAATCTAATGGTACATGCAAATAACACCTCAATTCAGAGGGTCAGTTACAAGCTTGATTATTTTCGATTGATTTCAAATAAATAACAATATGAGCAAATCAATCAATAATTGATAATATGGGACAATAGTAGGAGCTATACTGCCACTTAAGTCAGTTGTTAGTTCTAGCTATTATTATTTGCAGGGTATTCTATTGGAAATTACTCAATGATTCCATAAGCTTTATTTATAGAAAAGTGTGCATCATCATTTATAACACTGTAAGGAACAAGTGATTCATTAAAACCCACACTAAAAGTATTTTGTAGAAGAAATTAGAAAAAAATTTCTTCAGCCACCCTAAAAAAATTGTTCACAGCTGGACTGATGTCATCATTACATAATGTTTAAGGTCATGATTTTCAACGATTTCCGATAACTACTGCCAGAGTTATGGCCCTTGATCACTTTGAAAAATATCTTGTGGACGATCTAGAGTCTAAAGTGAATATCAGATTTACTTTAGATTTACACACAGTCTTCAAGATCATGAGACGATGGATCCTAGGCATTTTCAGCTATTTCCAATAATTACCGCCAAAGTTATGGCCCATGAATTATCTTGTGGACGCTCTGGAGGACAGAGTTAATATACGATTGGCTTTAAATTTATACACAGTGTTTAAGGTCATGAGACGAAGGATCCTAGTCATTTTCAGCGATTTCCAATAATGACTGCCAGAGTTATGGCCCTTGATACTTTGAAATATCTTGTGGACCCTCTAGAAGCTAAAGTTCATATAAATTGTTTTAGGTCATGAGACAAACATTCTAATGATTTCTGATAACTACTAATTGGGTTATTACCTGTAATCAGATTTTCATGTGTTGTAAAAGTTTTCATTACTGACAAAGGAAAAAATATGTGATAACCCTTATTGACTGCCTGGACAACTTAGCTGCTATGACATGTTTCTGATCCGCAGTCAAGAGCTTTGGCACCCATCTTGCAGAAACTTATGTCATTCCTAACTCATTGCCAACAATGTGCTCAGCCCTCTCATGAGAGATGCCCACAAAACTGGCAATATGTCAAGTGGTCAATTGTCGATCAGCCATCACCATGTCATGCACCCGGGTAATGCTTCTTGAATGGTTGCTGTTGATGGCCTTCAAGACACGGGTCATCGTCAAGGCTCTCTCTGCAACACTTAACTTCTGCAGCCCACCTCTTTACTGTGGAAAATGTATCTGTGTTCTGTGTTGGGGTTAGTCCTTTAATTTGCAGGTACTTGCAGTTGCAGGCACTTGATGACTGCCCTATAGCCAATTTTGTCCATTTCTGGTATTATTTAATTAAATAGACAATGTGACAGAGAAGACCTTAAAGTTTTTATCTTATTTAAACTTAAAGATTGAAAAGTGTTCTTCTAGATAATAATGTACGTTGGTAGATTATTGAAGAAATATAGATTGAATTAAATATCAGGTTGGCCGGCAAGTACTTTGGCGGATACGACTGAGTTATTGTCATACCCCAGTCGTTGATTACAAGTAATTAAAAATGGCAGATTGAAATCAATAGAAATTAATATGAACTTTAATTGGTTATAATGATACCGCTGATTGGCAATAGTTGGATTTTGAATCCTTTCCAAACTATCAGATTGTGATAAAATCTCTAAAAGGACTATCAGTCCTCAAATGGTTCAATTCCGTTCAGTATTTATATAGATATGATGAATTGAATATCGAAACTGATAAATTAACAATTGAAAAATGGTATTGAAATGCATTACTTGATCAATGATTCCCAACACACTTTAGAAACAACAAAAAGCTGTTTGACCAAAAAAGCTTTTTTATTTTCAATGAAATGTATTTATTATAGGAAAGAACCCAGTTATAGATGGTGAAGTATCTACTATAGAAATACAGAGAGCTAGTCCAGAATTGGGTATTAGTATTGTTGGTGGATGTGATACCCCATTGGTAAGTGATATTTATGTAAATGGATTCAATAAAATTAAAAAAATTTGATAATCTCATTGCAATACAATAACCATCTTGGAACCAATCCTGCCACACATAAAAAAGTAATGTACAAAGGATGTACGTGGGTAATCTTATGTAGGTAATTTAGAAGCTATTCAGGTGTCATGGTTGGAGTTAGTACATGGGTTAATTCAGTATCTATCCATTTGACAGTTAGAATATATAACCATGTCATTTTTTGTAATAATAATATCGTGTTAAAGTCCATCGTATTTAATTTATTCATTTTAATTAAACATACATTATGCAAGAGCTAAATCTGCCTATTGTAGGTCTTTCTTTAGGCCTGAAATGTTATATAAACTATTAATTAGACATTAATTAACGTATCCAGACCATAATCAACACTCGATGGCAACGCTAGCCTGCGATCTATAGTGGATTATGCACCGATTTGCTGCATAACTTTTCTTCTCGATTTAACGATTAAATGGATAATCGAGACTATGATTTTTGTCTTACCGACTTTAGTAATGATGACCAAGGCTATGCGGAACTTTCGATCGCTTATTTCTCGGTTCATAGTGGATCAGTTTGACTGAAATTTTCAGCATATTGCCTTTACATTATTTAGTTTTTAACTATTATAGTGAGAACTGCCAACTCGTTATCTAATCTCCCATAATGTATCTTTAATAAAACATTGTGATTTATTTGTGAAAGGTGACTGAGCCGTAACATTTGAAAAATATTATGAAATTATAAAGTTTATGTTTAATTGTATTTACTCTTGATTAATATGTAACGTTTGATGCAAATTGTTTGTTTAAATGAAGAGTGTAATGTAGTAGTATTTAAAGTCCATCGTATGGACGTATATTGCCGTCGCCCCCGTCTGTCTGTAGGTCGTCCACAATTTCTTGCGTTATTTAAATAAGGCTGACCTTAAAAATATCTTTGTTTCGCCTAACGCGACCGACTAACTAAAACCACCCCCGACTTAAATTATTTTATTGCACTTTTCCGCGATCTTTTTATTTTATTTTGTGTGTCAACCTGAAATATATCACGAGAGTTATTTCCCTTTACTATGGCTATGGTTTGATTCATTATTGAAACTGGTTGATCAAGACGAAAGCATCATAGGTGTCGCTTCTCAACAAAATGGTTGTAGACGAAAGCACGTCCATTCCCACGAAATGATTCTGCCTCTATTTTTCTCGAAAACGGATATTGAATATCCGTTTTCGAGAAAAATGAAGGCACAACCCGCACGATCGTTAAAAAACGTGTTGAGGGAGTTTCAAACGTCAGTTTCTGGCAATTCGTGTGCGAGTCGTGCATCACGAAAAATTCCGATGTCATTGATTTGTTTGACAATAGGCTAAAAGAAGACGAATGTTTGCACCCGGAAAATTATCAAGCTGTCAAATTAGCTCTTAAAAAAAAATCTGAAAAAAAACCCCGACCTACCGACCCTTCTCCTCGATTGTGGGTCGGGTTTGGTGAAACAAAGATATTTTTAAGGTCAGCCTAAGTGAAAATAAATGTGTATTTTGGGGAATACTAACCCTAACCCTTTTAGAAGGGGTAAAATGTAAATTGGATCCAAGTTCAGTCTTCTTATTAACGTTAGGGTTAGTATTCCTCAAAATACTTATTTATATAAAGCGGCCATTTTGGACTCCAGAAATTCCTGAACCTCCCCTACTGGCCTACAATTAGAATCTCTCTAAAATATATGTTTATATCCCAAAAATCTTGGTTCCTTTCGATATTCGCACATATTATCAGACTTCTGGATTATGGCTCCTGATTGTACGAAAAATCTCCTTTTTTTTTAGCGAGTTCTCTGTCCATCTTACAAAATGTGGGCATATCTTGCATGGCAACCGCTTGTTGCAAGTGAAATATGCTCTTGTAGAAAGAATAAAAATCAGTACAAAAAAAAAAACCATATCAATAAATAACAGATGTGATACTATATTAAAAGTTTATACAAAGAATAAAGAGAAGGATGCGGAATCAAGACAGGCTTTATGTGAAAACTAGTCACTTGAAGCCCAAGCACACATTACCAAACCAAACTGGGTACCAAGTGAAACCTAAAACATAGACTAGTCATTTTGACTATGGTAATTAATGAATGTGATATTTGAAGAATGTATGATGAAGTAAGAATGTATTATTTTCTAGATCTGTACTGTGATACAAGAAATAATAAAAGATGGTGTGGTTGATAATGATGGTAGACTGTTACCTGGTGACCAAATATTAGAGGTATTTCTTAATTAACAATCAACATCAACACCTCATGTATAAAGTAAACTTGATTTTAAAAATATTCAATTGTGACTTCATCAATTCACATAAATGGATTACTATTCTATTTTTCACGGGTATAAAAAGTTAATCTCTATACCAGGACTTTAAATTTTGAAAGAATTTAAATGGGGGTGGTGTTTATCCTCTCATTTATATTCAAGTGATGAGAAGTTTTTTAATATTTTTGTTGCCATGCAACTTCCACAATACAGTGCAATATTACCAATTGAAAGGTTTGAAGATTTAAAAGAAAGTTTTCAACAATATCGTCAATAGTAAATGTTTATTGAGAGTAAACATATCTTACCAAGTATATCATCAGTTACTATATACACACAGAACAAAACATTGGATATCTATTTTGTAGGTAAATGGTGAAGATTTAACACAAGCTACTCATTATCTGGCCAAGAAGGCTTTATATCAGTACTATCCTGTCTGTAGACTAACAGTGTATAGAGAACGAGCTGAAGAAAATAGACCTATTGAAAAAGAAGGTATTTCATTCTTTTCAGTTTATATATTAAGAATAGTTATAAAAACAGTTGAACCTTTATTTATATTTTAACTTACTTGATCCTACTGAATGTGGATGCAAATCAGCATGATGGTAGAATTTTCCTAGCCGTGGTCTAAGGGGAGGTAATTTGTGTGTAGTGAGACATAGAAATTAATAGTTTAAAAAACCTTAGTGGAATTCTTCTTTGATTTCTCTTTTTTTTTCTTCTTTTTTTTAAAGAAATCCTGAAAATCACATTGAATAAAGTGCCTGGAAGACCCCTTGGAATTAAACTAGTTGGTAAAAGGTAAGTTGAAATAGACTTATCAAGTTATTCAGAATTGGATTGTAATGCATGACCGACTCCCCCCCCTCCCAAAAAAAACCTACTACAAGTAGGCCTACTTTTGTGCTGCCAATAACTGACAGTAATACACACCATGGTGACAGAGTTGAATAGATTACTTTTCTAAATTGGTTAAACATGTACAGGAACTTAATTTTATGTCATATTTATACTCCATTCCTTTATGCTTCAATGTTCACATCTTTCTCCTTTTTTTTTTTCAGAAATGGTCCAGGTGTATATATCTTAAATCTTGTAAGTATATTTTCAGTTATCATTGCAAAAATTCAACCAAAAACAATTATAATGTCAAAACAAAATATTTACTTCTGAATACTACTAACAAGTTGACTGTATTTTAAGGTCCCTGGTTCTCTAGCTGCTTTTGATGGTCGATTAAAACAAGATGATCGTGTTTTTGAAATCAATGGACGTGATGTCACATATGGTACTCAAGAACAGGCAGCTGAAATAATACAGGTAAGTTTTTTTAAATTATCTTTTTTAAAAGCAGTTACTACTTCAAAAAATAAAAAGCAAAAAATTAAATATACATTATGCAAGAGCTACATCTGCCAATTGCACGTCTTTCTTTAGGCCTGAAATGTTATCTAAATTATTAATTAGACATTAATTAACTTATCCAGACCATAATCAACTCTTGATGTGATCACTAGTCTGCGATATTTTCTGGATTAGAATCTGATCTACTGCTTAACGCTCATTGATAATTAATTCAAAAAATGGATAATCAAGACTGTTTTTTTGTTGTACCAACTTTAGTAATGATGATTGTGGCTAGATCCAAAAATCTCGCTTCAGAGTGGATCAATTTGACTGAAATTTTCAGCAAATTGCTCTTACATTATCTAGTTTTTAACTACTATAGTGAGAACTGTCAGCTCTTTATCTAATCTCCCATAATGTATTTTTAAAACTGGTATTTATTAAAATGGTGGTTTGAGCTTCTATTTTAACGCTGAACTTTGTTTGTAAATTTACACACACACATCTTGGTTTTTTTTTCCCTCTTTTTAAGTCTGATCCAACATGTGTTCAATTTGTGATTTCTCGAAGAAGTCGTCCACAGACCCCTGATCTCATTCGCTCTACCTCATGTGAAGCCAGCAATTACTCTCTCTACTCAGATCCATCTATCTCAAATACTCTATTCTCTAATTCGGCATTAGAAAAAACAATCAATGTACAAAAGGTAAGCAAGAACACCTAAAATATTATTTTGTGTATTTATTGAAGAATAATAAATCATTGTCCATTGGTGAAAAATTGCTCTGTTACCAGTGCCAGGCCTTGCCATAAGAAGAGCAAAGGATTACTCTCATGATTATTTGAAGGCAAGTAGGCCAGCATCACAAAGTATCCATATAAATATACTACTCATTAGTTAGCTTGTAACATGTCTATGTCTGTGGCACAGTTGCTTTCTTACTTTTCAAATCCAGGCATTTTACACCAACTATGAATCAAATTATTTACAGATTTATTTCCCCTACTTCCTTCAAAAGTAATTTCCATTGCTGTATTTCATGTTTATTAGAAATTGAGAAGTGGTATGATGTTCACCAATGACTACTATTTTGTTGTTTATTGTATTGTAGGATACATGTGAAACATTGGGTATTAGTGTAGCTGGTGGTGTAGCTAGTCATAGAGGTGATACACCAATATATATCACCAATATCAACCCTAAAGGCTGCCTAGGTAGAACAGGAAAATTAAAGGTAAAGTAATTAAACATACATTATGCAAGAGCTAAATCTGCCAATTGCAGGTCTTTCTTTAGGACTGAAATGTTATCTAAATTATTAATTAGACATTAATTAACTTATCCAGACCATAATCAACTCTCGATGGCATCGCTAGCCTGCGATATTTACTGGATTATGTTTTTATCGTACCGACTTAAGTAATGATGATCAAGGCTAGGCCCAAAATTCAATCACTAAATACTTGGTTCAGGGTGGATCAATTTGACTGAAATTTTCATCAAAATCCATTTACATTCTCTAATTTTTCACTATTATAGTGAGAACTACCAGGTCTTTATCTAATCTCCCATAATGTATCTTTAATATTTTTTATACGTCCACATTCATGAGTTCAAATTTCATGAAAATCTGACCAAAACTGCCGGATAAAATGTACGCTCCGTGTACACAAATAGTGTTAAAGTATGTAATATCAAGGTTGTGGACCATCTAGAGGTCACAATTTTTATCCAATTTTGATGAAACATAAAGCATGTGTTTATATCCCAAAGATCTTGGTTCTTTTCGATATTCGCGCAATACAGACCGTAACATCCTGATTTGTGGCTCCTGATTGTACAAAAAAATCACGATTTTAGCTTGTTAACCCTCTACGGGTCACAATTTTTATCTGATTTTAAAAATTGTTTGAGTATAACATTGTTACCCCTGATGATGATTGAGTTCAAATTTCGTCTTAAAAATCGGACTGTAACGGCTTGTCAAAATGGACACTCCTTGAACGCAAATTGTGTAGAAGTATATAATACCAAGGTTGTGGACCTGCTAGAGGTCACAATTTTTGTCCGATTTTGATGAATCTTAAAACATATGTTTATATCTCAAAGATCTTAGTTCCTTTGGATAACTTGTACACCTAAATTCAGGATAGAAAAAATATGTAACGACCCTTGTTGACTTCTCAGACGACTTAGCTGCTGTGGGTTTATGTTTTGTTACCTGGCAACCTATCTTTTGGAAATCTGGTCTCTTGATTTAATAATGATTCTTATATATTGTAGCGAGGAGATATTATACTGCATGTAAATGGTACTAGTTTATTAGGACAGAGCCACAATGAAGCTGTTAAACAGTTAAAGATAAATGCTGATACTAATCTTTTAACATTACAAATAGTAGATGGTGCTGAAACTAGTGATGGACCAGGGAACTTTACTCCTACCTGGTTATACTGGCTTAAAGTACCCAAGTATGTATTATAGATCATAACATTTGTTACTAATGCAAATGTGTGGCAAAGAGTAAGACTGCCCATGTAACCTCTTGTACTTTCTCTTGGCTCGCTAGTTCCTACCCACTGCTAAGAAAACTTGCATGCAGATAAATCATTCATATTAGATATATGCTATATATCTGTCAAGACAAAATGGTGGCCTTGTGTAGTTTCATTGGAATTTCCAAGATGTCCGCCAACCTATCCATCCTGCTAAAGACGTGTGTGCAAGTGAATGATTGAAATGAAATATATACCATATATTTATCAAGATTTTGTCTAGCGAATGTTAAGTAGACAGCTGAGATATCTCATTTTAGAATTTTAGGTCTTGCTGCAGAATTAAAAAAACACTTGTATATAGACAATAGACAATGATTATTCATATTATACACACAATCACAAATTTCATAACTTTTAGCATAGACAAGTTCACAAAGACTTCTCATACAAATGGCTGGTTGGCAAATAGATAATACAAAGCCCGGGTGTGTTAAGGTTCCTTAGGAAGCAAATGACTTTATACATGTAGCTACAACTTGATATTTTCAAGAAATTTTGATATGCCCACATTTTCATGTGGATGTATATTGTCATCGCCCCTGTTCGTCCATCCACAATTTTTTAGTGGACACTCTACAGGTTATAATTTTTATCTGATTTTGATGAAACTTGAAATATAGGTTTATATCCAAAAGTAGACCCTCTAGGGGTCACAATTTTTATCTGATTTTTATGAAACTTGAAATGGAAGTTTATAAACCAAAGATCTTGGTTCCTTTTGATATTCACGCATATCGGACCGTAACTTCCTGGATTATGGCCCTTGGTTGTACGAAAAATCTTGTTTTTAGCTTGTGGTCCCTCTAGATGTAACTATTTTTATCGAACTAAAAAAAATTTCCTTATATATCATTGTTACACCATAATGACAATTGGGTTCGAATTTTGTGAAAATTGGACTGAAATTGCCCGACAAAATGGCCGCTCTCCGTATCTGATTTTAATGAAACTTAAATATATTTTCTAGGTTCCTTTCGATACTTGCATGTATCGGACTGTAACTTCCTGGATTATAGCCCCTGATTCGTTTTCTGCCTATCTTTACAAATGGCAACCGCTTGTTGTATTATGGTTTCATTTATTTATAAAAATTTGTTCCATGTGATATTAAACTATTTGATCTACTTTCCTTCATTTCAGAATGTGCTACATATTACGCTCAATAACCTTGTTACGCAGTCCAAGTGGAAGTCTTGGTTTTTCGATAGTAGGAGGAAGTGATCATGCTCATGGTCCGATGCCCGTTTTTGTGAAATCTGTTGTACCTGACACACCTGCATCTAAAGATGGCCGCCTCAAGTAAGTTTGCTCTTTTAATGGTTCATATAAAGTATCATAAAAGTTGCGGGTAGGATCCAAGACAGATTTTGTCCTGATATCCATCACAGCTCTTGACTCGCCGTGGGAAACGAACCATGCTTCGTTTTAATAGTGACAAATAGAAATGCATATTGAAATTAATGCCATTAATTTCTTGTTTGACAGCAACACATATATTAATCCCCATACTTTTGCCTGTTCTAAGTAGTTAGGTTAGAAATATTAAAATAACCACCAATTTCTATTTATTATTTACAGATGTGGTGACATTGTTTTAAGTGTAAATGAACATAGTTTACAGCATATAACACATGCCAAGGCTGCCGATTTATTAAAACATTTAGATGGTGTTGTTAATATGACAGTTGTCTCGTGGCCAGGAACTTTAGTTTAATACTCCGTCAGAAAACAGCAATCTATTTGTGAGTGAACAGTGTTTTTATATGAAAACTTTAGTGGATGACTGATTTGAATGAACGACACAATATTTTTTTGAAAGTTGAATGAAATGAACTTTCTGCGTCGAGAATCTATGTTGATTTTTTATAATGTAACATAAATGAAGTACAAGGATGGTGAAAAAGAAATAGTTTTATACTGAATGGATTTTAATTGTAAAATAAAGAATTCCTGTGACAATGTATAAAAGTAAATCCAATTTTATTGGGAAAAAATTGACAATCATTTTTAGTGAAAGTGAATACATTTTTTTTTTGTGCCAAAATTCTACGTGATGGACAAGTTTTTTGTTGCTTATTATCTGTGAGAAGTGTTTTATGTGGTTATCTGTGTAGTGACCTGTGCGTAAATCATTCCATTTTGTTAAACCTGATATTTGATGTACTTTGAGAGATGTCTGTGTATGTTTTCCATCACAGCTTATCAGGAAAAAAATTCAAGTTTAGATATTATGGATTGTGATGTTTATCAAATATTTATTGACATAGTTAAAGAAGCAGCCCCAGATTTCACTGGGTATCCGTGATCAGTGTGGGTATTATTATTATACTAATAAAATATTTGGAAATAATGCAAAATATTAAGCCTTTCAGAAATGATTGCTAGATTTGCTGTAACTCATTTAAGGAATTTGATTGTTTTGTATGAGTGGCTTGATAATCACAATAATGACTTTACCACTATAACGTGGACAAGTATATGTAGACACGGTCATCCAGGCACTCATCTTTTACAATTAACTAATTCACTAACAAGTATATCTGAGACTGCTTCTTTAAGTTACTATGTCTTTTAATTAAAAACTGACGAAAATCCAGATATCTTCTTGATTACCAGCGTATATGACTGCTTTGAATGTTCACCATTAGCTAAGATCCTTTGTATGGTTGATATGTTAATACATGTACTGTACTTGTAATTTGTTTTATCGAGTAAATATTCCAGTTTATGGGTCTATGTTCTTATAGTCATGTTATTTGATTTGAAATTAATGTCAGTTTTCATTGATAGTTCGTAAATACTATAATTTTTTTAAAAAAATATTTAAGATTGATATTTTGTATGCGTGAGTTTAGTTGATTTATGAAAGCCTCTCAATTTTATCGGTAGATTAAAATAATTAATATACCGGTACTTGGCATAATTTGTTAATGTACGGAAAACAAAAAATACCTGGAAGTAGTCGTTAGAGAGCAAATTTGTGGTCTTCTCAATATATCTACATATTACATACAGATATTATAAATGATGTGATTTAACCATAGGATATTTGAGTTAAGATCAAATTGTACCCTTTGGTTTAAAATGTAGTAATAAATAATACAGTAACTCAAGACTCATTACCATACAGCCTGAATTTGAAAAAAAAAAAAGGAAAATAAAAAACAGATTCAGATTTTTAATGAAGCCAGATTCCATGTACTGATAAATTGAAAAGACTAGACTACTTAAAGATGTCTTGAAAATTATATTGCTATTATACTGGTTGATAAAGGCTAAATTACTCTTCCTGTAGAATTGTTTATCAAATATTTAGACAAGTAGTCATACATGTAGGTCAGAAATTCAACAGTAAGAGCATTTGGATTATATCTCAAAAGAATTTGAGATCTGATTTTTATTAGCCATATTACATAACATGTATTGCACTGCACAATACATCAACTCAATATTATTATTAGAAGTACATGTAGTTCATAATTTTCAGATATTAAAATGTATTTTATTTGTTTACTTTTAGTAATAACTAATATTTTATGTACATTCAAATATGTTAGCCATGATTTTACTATTTTAATTTTCTATATTTATTTGTTTTACTTCAAATCTATATTTCAAATTATATTATAAGCCACCAAGATTGTTTATTATTTGTTATTTCCTGATATGATATTAAAAGATTTAGTGAAAATAATATCAAAATGGGTCATTCCATGTCAAGTGGACCAAATTCTCAGAAAGTTGTAAAGTGACCACCTCAGAAAATTTTGAAAAAAATATAAGTTATAATAGAACATACAGTCTTGTGTAAAACTTCAAAGTTATATGAGTCTAGCATTAATATCGACTGAGATGTGACCATTTGAATCGGGGTGCCCTTTCGCAGTTTTGAAACTACTGTTATATGACTTGATTTTTGTGATCTGATTTTATTCCTTCTAGTCAGTTTATGGGGTTTGTAAGAGAATATTATATAGATTAAGAATTTACCAGCACATTTTAATAGAAAAAGTATGGCCTTAAGTGCCAATAAGTGATACTTGTGCAAAAAATCAATCATTATTTCGATACAGTATAAAAATTTTACTACACTATATTAGAAGTTGTTACTTATCACATGTATAATGTATCAATGGGTATTGTTTGAACAAACATTATTAAAAGTCATATCTTTGTCGGTTTCTTGTAAAATTAGGTTTGATAATCTTGAATTTTCCAGGTTTTTGATATTGAGCCTTAAATTTTTGGCACTTGGGGTACTACATACACAGATGACGGTACTTGTTCTGCAAAATTTAATAGTGAATTCTTAATGTATATAATATTCTCTTACAAACCCCATAATTTCAAGAATATTGTCTATCTAGAAGATATAAAATCAGTACACCAAAATCGAGTTATAGAATAGTAGTTTTAAAAGCTGTGAAAGGGTATGACTATTCAAAATGCCATATCTCAGTCAATATTAATGCTAAAGTCATATAACTTTGCAGGTTTACATATGTCTGTATGCACTATAAAAAAAAAAATTTTCATAATATTCAGAGAGGGTCACTTTACAAGCACTGGTCCACTTGACATGGAATGACCCAATATATGTTTAATATACTTATTATAATAATTATATTACAAGAATATTCTTAGTTTAATTTAGATGTATAACTGCTTTTTATGTGATAGAATAAACATGTAAGGTAGTAGTGATTTGCTTGGAGAATGTGGCTAATAGCCCTAAATAATTAGCCGTTAGGGTATATGCAACCTTTTACTGAAGTGCTTTTAACTTGTATGCTTTGTTGATTGAAGCAACAGGAAGCTTTGCTAATATTAGAATGAATGAACAGGGAAAGGTCCTGGAAGAATTTGAAGTCTGATGCCTTGCAGCGGCGTAATCCAGCCATTTTTGCCGATATATTTTAGTAACCTTATAAGCTTATCTATCTCTATTGCCATCCATAAAAACCATAACCACTTTTATTATTATTATACATTGTATGAAGCTTTATGTTTTTTATCAGCATAAATGTTTATTAGTGATCTCGCTGGTTGTAGTTTATAAGCTCTTTCACAGCCATAGGTGCATATAAAGGAGCTATGGTTTCTTGCTTTATACATTTTGTCCATTTAATCTTGTATATGGCCAACAGCAGCTAATTTCATTGATTTACTACTGGCATAATTGTCAGACATATTTATTACTCTATTGAAAGCTTTCACTAACTATAGATAACATTATGTCTATTTGTACTAGGGAAGAACTCTAGGTTTGTTCTGTCTACTTATCTTCTTACCTTATGTTATCAGTAGTTTAACCACAAAGATTGTCTTCGAACTGAATCATGAAGCTGTGGTCTTAAATTAGTACCCATTTCAGTTTATGTGGGAGTGTCTTGTTAGTGATTTTTTGGTATGATAAGGTTATAATTTATAGGCTTATCCTGTTTAAGTAAATAGGTATATAGCACTTTATAAGAAAATCTAAATCTACTCAGAACTATAATAAAGAAGCTTAAGTTTGCTCCACATATAGCTTCCTATTTTATTTTCAAAGTTATTGTGTATCTAGTCATTCCATTTTACCTATAGTCTAATATTCAGTTTGTTCCTATGTATGGTAGATGTATATTTTGAGTTAGCTACTTTGATCTATTTAAATTAAATAAAGTTAAATATATATAATTTTGTTTGATGCAAATGTATTTAGTTTCATAAACAATAATATTGTTGTTTCACAATGTTCTGTGTTGTATATTGTATGTATAGAGAAGTAGAACAAAAAAGTATTTTGTGAAATCAAGTTAGTTTCAATTAATGATAATTTTTCAATTATTATATATTATAATGATTTCGGGTTTCAAATTATGATAATATTCTGTTATTTTATAAAATAATTAGATCTATGTCAAGTTTCAAAGTAACAGGATACTTTTACTGTGCAGGCATTTCTATGCAACTTTTGACATTTAGATTTTCAACATGTGTCCTACTTAAAAATAATATTTTTTTTAATGAATAAAAGAAACAATTGAAATAGTATGGACCTACAAGCTTCTTTAAGATATATTATGTAAGATTTAGATAAAGAGAAGGCTGCTCTTCTATACATGTAGTAGTTTGAAAATAAAAAATGAATATATTGAAAATTTCAGTCAATTTACTTTATTTTGAGCAAAGTTATGAATGTTTGAAGTTTTGACAAGATTTAGCGCAAATAGTCTTAATTTTAAATTATTAAATGGAGTGGGTGTTCTATTAGAGTGTTGATTATGGGCTTGTCATTTAAATAAGTGTCTAAATAGTAGTTTATATAACATTGGAACCTAGAAGAAAGAACTGCAATAGGCATCATTAACTCATACATGATGCATCTTCAAATCTTCAGTGTACATGAACATGTATATTGATAAAAATATCATTAAATATACATTCCAAAGTTCATAGATATTTATTATACATATATATATTATACACCATTTCTCCAAAAAATCATTTATATAATTTTTAATGTAATAAGAAAATAGTTTTAAATAATCTGTTACTATACTAAAATTACTTTATGATATATTATAGAATTTGTTGTCCCCCCGCCTTTTCAGAGAAAGCAGGCGACTTCTAAAATGGGTTTGTCCATCACACTTTTTGAAAGCAATAAATCAGCTTCTAAAATTCAGGTAGAATGATCAAACTTTGTGTAGATGTTCATTAGATGAATGTCTTTACAGAGTTCGATGGTAAGTGTTTTCTGCTCAGGTCAAGCGGAGATAAGCAATTTTATTTGTGGATGCTTGGGATACAATAACTTTGCTTCTAATCTAATTGAGGGTAAATGATCAGTGATCAAGTTAATAAGCATTTTCAGATTAGGTTAAAGATTGGTTCCCAGAAAAGTATTTATCGGGTGGTTATTTCCAATAAAAGTATGGCATTTTTGCTATATATGGAAAGTAGAGATATCCAATCTCACTAGAAAAATACTGGATTCCTCGAAAAACACTCATGGAGCGTACACAGGACAAAAACGTAAAGGTTCCCCTAATTGACAGCCCGACGATTAGGAATTTCTGCATGCGTGATGTCAAAGGTCACACGCGAACATTGGGGGCTTGATGTACAAGTTGATAAACTTTATGAAGAGTTAGACGTACAACACTTTCTGAGATAATAAATCATGGAAAAAGACGCGGATAGTGGATAATCTGAGAATTTAATTAGGATTCGATATTTGTAACAAATAGTACGCAATTAAAGACAACATCGTCTTATGTATGCAATGAATTCCCCTCTGACTTCCAAGAGAGGTAAGTCACGTGACATAAACATGACCTGGTTTGATCGAATTTTTATAGCAGGGCATTCCTTCGCAATTACAATGTTTGAGAAGGATTTGAAGCAAAATTATGACAAATTAATTAGTTTGAATATGTTTTTAGTCCATATATACCATTAAATCACCCAGTTTGTACGCGGGAATGTATCTTTAAGTAGAGTTATAAACAATTTGATTGGTAGATGCTTTATAAAGAGCTAAGTGCGCAAGTAATTAATGTTCTGATTAATGAGTTAAGAAAATCCTGAAAGAATTGATATTTAAGACTAATTATAATGAAATGTTTTGAAGAAGAGTTATCCTTCCACAATATTGATGTTTGTATAATGTATATGGTTGTATGGATTTTGTTTTCTGATCTCTTACTATTATATATATATACATGTATGTTGTCATGTAAACAAATTAAGTTCTACTTTACTATTTAATATAAACATACATATATACCATTTATCTGGGAAATTTAAGAACCCAGCATTTATAAAATGAAAATTCAGTGTAAATGTACAAAGTCACCATGGATACTGTTTTCATAATAAAAAGCTGAACTGAACTACTTTCTGTGCACAGTTTCCTTTATAATGTTTTCTTCAATAGATCCACGTTTACAGTTTCCATGCAACAAGAAGGGGGCCGCTAATGTGGCAGCTTCAACCCCAGTATAGAGAAGTCCAATAATGTGCATGATTTGTTAGTTTTAAAGTGAAAGTTTAATTTTTTGTTGGGCTTAATGTCCACTTCGACGTATACCAAGTGTCATATTTTAGACAAAAGTTTCCTAGGAAACTTGTCTGTTGTACATGTACTTAAAAATCGTCGCTTCCATCCCCTTGATGAAAGGCATTACCATGCCTTTTGAGATACAGAGTCTAATGGGCTATGTCCCATTTTAAATAGAAGGAAGTCAACTCCAGGGAAAAGGTATTAAAATAAAACTCTCATTCATGATTGCTTTATAGGTGATGGCAGGTTGCAAATTGGTGCTACCTTCATTCACTCCTTTGATTGATACAACTCTATTATGTTTCAAGCCTTAGGACTGGTGGCTTGCTTAATCTGTCATAAATGTGAAAATGTATATATTACACTTATTGATGATTAAACTGATTCATCATTATAATTAATTACAATATTGTGCAATGTTACCCACTGGACTAAATATTACCTACTGATATGTCTCCATTAAGAAGTATTAATTACACCAACTGATGATATAAGGAAAGTAGCAGTATGTTTCTGGGTTCCATGTGGATATAGCACTTAATTAAAGGTAACTTGGGTTAATTAGCTGCATTATCACTTTTAAATTTATTACTATGCATTGTTTTGAGGAGGATATTATCATGCAAATATGTGGATAGTAGACAAATATAAAGAGAATATGCAATAACAATATATTCTTTGTATGCCATTTCTAAATTGTGACCTTTCAACAAGATTTAATAAGTCGTGAATCAAACATATAAACACAAATAAATACTTTTAGGGAATGTGTGTTTTAAATGCCTACTGAACTCCTTGAAAACCAGAAAAAGGATCTAGTCTAAAATGTACTGAATGTATCTCTGTCAAGGTTTTGCAGATCTTTCTCAACTCCGATTTAATACTTAAAATCACTTCAAATTGAGAATTCCGTTTTTACGTTCCCAATAAGATCTGCAATGCCCTTTACACAACTTGTAAAACAATGGTTCATCAATTCCCTATATGAACATATAATCATGTGCTTATATAATAAGATAAGATAAGATGTTTATTGCATCAAAACGTCCATGAAGGACAGCATGCATACATATACACTTAGACATAGTCATATACATTCAATAATACATATGTCCGTATTGATAAGAGGGATTGTGTTCGATAATAGCATATATAATGTTTTGTCAGTCATATCATATAATGTTTATTTTCGTATGTCATACAGATAAAGATATACTATGACATTGTAGCCTACAGTAAAAGGTATAATACTGTATATTATATGTATATCATATATTTATTATTCATAAATAAATGGACCTCGTAAGGTTCACCTGTATATACAACAAAGATCAATATCGGTCAGTCAAGAGATTACAATTGTTTCTTATCCGAATGAGGTTGCAAAATACCCAATGACGCCACACCTCATTGCTTCTACGTTACACTCACCTGAGAGGTATGTGAATATGGCTTACCTCCCTTGCATATTCTCCGGTTAAAATTCAATTAAGGTGTACTTCAACCGGCGTTTTCAGACACAGGTATGTGATTATAATGATTAAAATGTTTTAAGTTTATCAAGTAGGCTACTTTATATTCTTCGAGAAAACGTTACTTTTTGTTAAAGGTTTTATGACAATTACAATTTAATTACCGTTATATAATACCGGTCACCACAGGTTTATTTTTAAAACATTGCTGTTCTATTATAAATAATGACCTCATCCCCATTGAGATTGTATAAAATAAACGAATTAGTTATTAGATTACAATTATATATAATAATATATGTCAAATATATAATGTAGCAAAACTTACTATCTCATGAGCCATCTGTATTATGAAAAGTCAGAGATTTCAATCACTCCAAAATTATAATTATATAATTCAATATTTGGCAATTATGTTTCATTATGATCCATCTTTTTCTAACTCAAAAATACTGAACCCCCATTTTAATTCATACCCACAAAAATATTCATGGGTTATTATAGTTATCAACGTGAATGAGACAGCTATGTTAGCGTCACAAAATCCTCTGTTGAAATATATCATTGATGAAAAAAGGAAGTCAGATCAAATGTAATTGCCCAATTTTTATATAAACTTTATCTATTTTCGGGAGGTGAGGGCTGGGCCCCATGCATCTTATACCAGCACTGCATGTTTCAGACACAAGGCCATTAGACGAACCATATATCATAAATTAGGGGGAAGAAGTAAAAGATTATATGTCATACTTTTCAATCCAATCGCACAGTTACATCTCCCTGTATTAGGTTCTATAAAGGTTGTTCATACTTCAACGTTAGCTAGCTAGCTAGAATTCAGTGTTTCTTTGAACAAGTAGGGCGGTGGATGACCAAATGGTTGGCACCTGTGTACTGTATCATAAGGTCTGTCATTGAGTCAACTGGTGTGGTTTCGAATCCCCGGTTGTGCGTGACAAGGAGTATGGTTGCCTGTTTAACCTCTTGGGTTTTCTCCAGGTCCTTTGGTTTCCTCCCACTGCTAAAGACCCCTACGCGCAAGCGTATTACTGAAATAAAATTGAACCCTGTGCTAGTCCCGAAATGACCTAGTTTGTGTCGAGTAGACGTTAAACCCCATTTCTCTCTCTCTTTGAACAAGTAGTTTTAAATCATATTCTTTTCAAGTAGGATATGCAAAAAGACTTAGATTGGACATTTTAATGTGTTTTAAAATGAAATAGAACAATTTTATGAAAATATTTTTACATCTTTGATATTGTCAAAAATATTTTTACATCTTTGGTATTGCCAAAACAGACAACAACTATTTTGGTTATTTACCTATACTAAGCAGCAAAAGAAACGTCAAATTGGTATATTACTCTGAATAGACCCATTGCATAAAACTTGCCAAGTGTTTTTATTGTGACCACATCTCCAGCTTTACCTGAGCAATAAGGCTCCTTCCCAAACACAGAATTGAACCCAGGAAATGTTCTCAAAAACGCAACCTGACTTCTGAGATGGTAATGTGTTCTCCATGATTTTCATGTAACTCATGCTGCACGGGCTGTTCACCGGGACCAGCTCTATAAAATGTACCCCCATACCTGGTTGAATCATTCACACTATAACGTCAGCGGCATGCCACGACTCACGACAGCTCAGAGGAACCAAGCGATTGGAAGACCCGATGCTGGCCACACTGCCCAAGACGTTGCTAATCACTTCCAGGTCAATGTTCAGACCATCTACAGGCTTCAGCAACGCTTTCGGGCCACCAACACCACGGATGATCGCCCCCGAACTGGTAGACCAAGGGTTACCGCAAGGTGATAAGACGGCCATGTTGTGCGACAGCACATGCGGAATCCCTTCACACAGGCATCTGAGACAGGACGTCAGACAGTGGGAACACACGGAAGACCCATCAGTACCGATACAGTGTGCTGACGTCTCACCAGAGAGAACATCCATTGCCGTAGACCTTACAATGGACCGATCCTCACCCCTCGACCTCAACTTGAACATCTACAGTTTGCCCAACAACACCAGAACTGGCGACACAGGCAATGGAGAACTGTTCTGTTCACAGATGAGAGTCGGTATTGCGTATCAACTGCAGATGGCAGGACAAGAATATGGCATCGACGTGGCCAGTGTTATTCTGACCAATGTTTCATGGAACGAGACTCATGGGGAGGTCCAAGCATAATGGTTTGGGGTGGAATCGGCCTGAACCAGAGAGTGGGTCCTATGGTGTATAGACTGTGTACAGACTCTAAACCTTCTCGTAATGTCTTGGAATTGTGATGAATTAATCACTAATGTGTCAACATACTGTTCACAAAAAATTGCTTTGATCCATTTAGTAAGTCGTTTTCTAGAATGATTTGATTAAAGTGCCTCTCTGATTTTAAAATCGTACAGACGTTTTTTTTGCTGTTTAGTATATATATCAAACTTGCACGTTCAGTGGTGTTACCTCAATGGTTTTAAAACTATTCTCAAAATGTATGTAATAATTATAGAATATTAGATAAAAGCAACTTAACAACTTTTCTCTAAAATGTATATAAACCACAATTAACAAAAACCATGAATTAACACTATCCCCCTCTTACTCCTCCATATTCAATTGTGTAGAAAGCTCGGTTGTTTATAATTCTATGAATATTTTAACATAGAAAGTGTTCAAAGTTACCTCGACCCTCAAGCTACCCCAATTTAGATATAATATATTCTGCTTTGCTTAAATTACTTAAAGGGACTATCCCGATTTGAACAGTTGAGTCTCAAAAATAAAAGTCTGAGTACGTATGAATTTAAGCGCCAAAGCATAGAGGAATGGTGTACATGTATTTACCTTGTCTCAAAATTTCAGCTCAAAATATTGAGTTGTTTGGACGTGAACTTCAAAAATGCTTATTCGGACACGTAATCCTTTTAAGACTTCGGGTCAATTGTTTCGTTAGGTGATCTGATAATCGATTCCCGTTCCTTTTGAGGGTCTATACAGTGAATGACCCATGTGTTGTACTTGATAACGAAAGGTAAATTTCACTTACACATTATTTTTCTAAAATAAAAGTCTGGATTTAATCAGACACCCCATAATACAGCTTGGGAAACCGGTCTCCATTTCCAGATGAAGACTGATGGGTTTAAGTTGTATGAAAACGTATCACCACATGCCATGGTTCAATAAATATGCTGTACTGATGGAGGTCTATTGCTGTATAATCATTACCAGTTTTGAGGGACACATTGTAAGGGCACTGAACTAGAATATCCCAGGTTTTAAGGGAAAAATTGCATATTCATATATTTGGTGTAATTTAAGTTAAAAAAATGCTATTGATAAATTGGCAGAAAAGTAGCTGTCCGACTTCTAGACCATTGGTTTGGATTTTAAAAAAGTAATTTTACAATTTAGAGCCCAACCATTCTTTGATCTTCAGCAGGCTAGGCCATATATTTTGATTTAATTTCATACCACAATCATTTGTAGTTTTTGTGCCAATTTAATTTCTTGCTTTACAATGTACATGTATAGGCCTACCCTTCATCTCATATAACCTCAGGTACTGAAGATGGCACAAATAAATCCTATGAACAATTAGTTGTACATGTACATCTAAACAAATGAATTGTGTCTATATATAGTTGTTTTGTAATTTAGAAAATTGTGCAGTTAGTAAAAGAATTTTGAATAAACTTGTGTTTAACATACATTTAATACATTTTAAATATCAGATTAGAATTCAGCGTTAAGATATTATGGTGAACATGTATTATTTACTTTTCACTTCCATATACCAAAATTGTATTGTGTACGTAATTGAGCTGTAACATAATCTTTTAGTGGCATTTACTGAGAAACACATTAAACAGGCATTATGTAAAAGCAAAATCTGCCTATTGCCGCTCTTTCCTTGGGCCTTAAATGTTATATAAATTATTAATTGGACATTTATTAATATGACAAGACAATAATCAACTCGAATGACTAGTATATGGTTACAATTAATGCACATCTTGTCAAAACTACAACCATTGATAACTTCGCTAAAAATAAAGTAATTAATATATACAATGTTCATTTTGGATTATCTATTTAATTTTTGATTGGTATACACAGAAAAGATCCCTTGGCAGTTGGAATTCGATATAAGAGTAGAGCACCGCTGTCCGGGGCATATTTCTGTTATAGCACACTGCATGACGTATGCCCAATTTCATTAACCCTGTATGGGAGCAGCAGTAGAAGGTTAAAACTCATTTCATCTATTTTTGAGAACGGCCAGCTCCTTATCTAAATTTTACAAAGTGCCCCTTTAAATGTTCTCTTAGCTTTATCAATTTGTTGAAATTAAAAAAAGAATATATGTTATTGTTACAATAATTCTTTTGTGGCCTTTCCTGAATACAATAAACAAGATGTTTTATTTCCTTACAAATTGTTGATATTGTGACCTACTTTAAGGACTATTTTTGTACTTTGAATTTGGAGGAACATATATAACTCTTTTTCACCAGCTCATGTCTTATCTGGTTGACCGCTTTTAGTATTCATAATACTTTGGTCTGTCAAAATATTGTAACATATACATGTAAATGTAGGACATACATGTATGTAACAGTATGTATGCACAATCTCTCCTGTAAACACATACATTTAACAGTATACAAGCATGATTTATGATATGAGAATCATTATATTAAAAATCATTGTACACCCAGATTAACTCATTTAGATAACATTTCAGACATAAAGATAGATTTGAAATAGGCAGATTTAGCTCTTGCATAATGCATGTTTAAATCAAAAATCTGTGTCAAAAAAAGTGTGGTTATCAGTTTGAAAAATAAAACAAAATATCAACAAACATGTTTTACTCCTGGTGAACAACCTTATTCCTAGTCCATTTGCAACATTTTTTTCCCTGTTGTTCTGCTGTACCCCACCTACATGTAGGCTGAGAGGTACAATGGATGAATTCAATTCCAGCATGTTAAGTTTCAGTTATAATGTTGTATTTTAGGTCTTGATCTGAGGTATAACTAGGTACACGTAACACTATAGCCTTAAATCTGTATTTACTTTAATTTACAGTAATACATAGGCACAAGGGGTAAAAATCAAAAGTTAGTAATTTGTGTGTCCACCTCTAACATCCATATATGTCATGCAAGTTACTTTGTTATTCGTGCCCTCACGAATTAATGCAATGTTGCATTCTCAGTGTTCAGGTGTCAACCTTGGCATATCGATGCCTTCTCCTCCAGTTGTGCTGACCCCCAGCTTTTTAAAAGCCACATTTCATATGATTTTCAACATTCACTGAGTGCCAAAGTCAACTTTTTGTGTTAGTGAGTCTTGAAAACATTATTCTCAAATGTTATAATAATGATCTGATGTTGTTACATCGAGAATGTGTAAAAATTCACCGGTACAAGATATACAGGTATGTGTCTGAATTAATGTTTCAGGTTGTTGAAGTAATGTAATTCAAGTGAACGAGAAAGGCTTTGATACATGAAATTTTGTTGGAGAGACATAGTTAGCCTGTAGAATGGCACTCAGTAAATCAGTTTGTAAACTGTGTCTTTTCATATTCAATGCAGTTTTTATCGTAAGTTTAACATTTTACTCCATTAGTTTATTATTGCTGAATTATACTTGTATGTTTATTAGGAATTGTTTGTACTCCTGGTTCAAACAGAAATATAATACATGTACAGATCTATATTTCTTTCCTTTTTTTTCTACTTTCGATGGCCTCTACTACATGAAGATCTGACTGGTTGTAGTGGAAGGTCGCTTCATTGGTCATACAAGCGATTTTTGACCCTATGACGTCAGATATTCCATTAACCAATCAGCTTTGATGTTTCTAGTGGGTTACCCATAGTTCTGTGTACCTCACACCAAAAGCTCACTGTAACAGACGGTTTCATTGGCTAATCCCTCACATCATCTAGAACGTGGGTTATATAACAACTCTTCCAGATCCTAGTGTAGAAAAGAGAAGTAAAAACGAAATTTTGAATTATAAAAAACAAAACAAAATAGGTTCTGTGTTTTAATCAGATTGGTATTAATCAGCCCTTGGCATGGCTTAAACATTTAGTATCTCCACATCCATTATCAACTTTTTAGTTACTGTAGTTATTTAGTTAAAGTTAAAATTAGTAGTTTTAAAATGTACAATCGATTTTAAGTTTCTTCTGTCCAAGAATTAACCATGCAGTTTATTTGCATAAAATCTTAACCGATGTCTGTAGGTTTTATTTCTATAGTAATTGTGGTGCACCTTTTCAGCACCACAACACATCACCTCAGCAAGATAAAAAAAAACAAACCACAAATCACTTGAAGTTGAGAATGATAAAAGATAGAAAATGTCAAACAGTACAAACTATTTTTGGTATCAAATATACATATATCAAATCATGTCAATAAAATAAAATAAAATGAATCAGGAGGTACAGCCAGTCATTGACTCAATATTGCAATAGATATTGTTCAATACCAAACAAGCTATTACATGTACTTATTTGTGGTGGCTCAGTAAGTAAGGGGCTGGCTCACTTTCATATGTGTGTTTATTTTCTACAGGTGGCAGGTGTAGCTATATTTGCTGTAGGTGTATGGACAGCAGCAGATAAAGTTTATATATCAGATATAGTTGGTAATAATTCATTTGAAGCAGCAGCTTATTTGGTTATTATAGCTGGTATTATTATAATAGGAGTTTGTATTCTAGGATTTATATCATTAGCTAAAGAAAGGAAGATATTAGTAATAGTGGTAGGTATATATTTAATAGTTAGAAATATCTGTTTGCATCAAAACTGATGTTAAACATACTGACTAAATGAATTTTTACATGACCACAAATGTAAGTATATTCTTGTTGCCCTTTACTGTCTGTCAGTCCACAATTTTTGGAAAAACTATGCAAAGGTTTTGGGGGGTTTTCCCCAGTTGTGTTTTCATTATGTGCTTTAAAGGTTGAACTTTGAGTTGAACTGAGTTTCAAAATTACAATGACAAAGACTCTTTAAGTACCAAGTATGGTATAGGTACGGGATTCTCAAAGTTATTTCCCCACTAACCCCTTTAAATTGTCATATACACACAAACATATTTTATTTGATATAGTTTTCTAAATTATATGCATGTATGTAAATTTAAGGAAATTGTAAATTATCAAATTTAAGAGATATAAGAGCCCTGTATTCCGGATAACTGTTAAATTTTAATATTGATATAACTAGATATAAAAGCTAATGTGAATCTATACAATATGGTTCTGTACTTTTAATAATATTCCTGTGGATTTTTTTATTTCAGTATTTTGCATTCTGGATTTTAATTTTTATATTTTTGATGGTTGGTGGTATCTTAGCTGTTGTGTTCCGAGCAGAAGTAAGTATGACTGCAATCACTTTTTCAACCTCTGGGTGTATGGATTTAAATTATATCAAGGCTGACTAGATGTATCCACTCGGCAGACTCCGGTACCCTACATCTAACCTCGACTGTATGACAAATTCCGCCATTGGAACTACTTTCAAGTTCCCGGATTAAAAATGGCGGCACCCATGAAGACACCTGTGAAGGGGGTTTTATCTCAAGAAACTGCATTGAAAACTCTACACACTCTTCGAACGATTCCATTTTCAGAACTTCTTTCTAAAAGCGACAAGTTTTCCTAATAAGTAAACCAGTAGATGTATCACAATTATATGGGTGTAGCTATACAGATCATTTACCGTCATACAGCTGAGGTTAGATGTAGAGTACCAGAGTCTGCCAAGGTTTGCTGAATGTGGATGTATCCACTAAATATTTTACTCACCAGTACACTTTTAGTAAAATTCTGAGCAAAAAAGCGAAAATAAAACAAAAGCGAAAGTAAAACAAAAACATTTCCAGGGAATATTTTCAATAGTAATACAGCCTCCATTTCACTAAAGAAGTATGAAGCGGCTGAGATATAATTTAAATCCAATGGGTACAAGAATAGTGTCACTTTGTAAGCTGAGATGGCAATCCCTGGACATTTGCACCGTAAGTGGATTGGACAGTTACTGATGTTTTACTAAATTTGTACTCATTATAACTGTTGCTTGTCTAATTGTATGTTTTTCTGAAAAGATTTTTGAATTAATTGAAATATATAGGTAATGTTATGAATTAAAGTGTTATTATAAATAAATGTGTCTAATACAGCTTGAATCTGGAATGAAAGATGCCATGAAAAGAACTTTAACAGATTTATATGGACATACTTCTACTGCTGAGCAAAGAGATGCTACAACAGCTTGGAATAGAGTGCAACATGATGTAAGTAACCATCCCAACTTCTGTCTCTGACTTAAACTCTTGTACGTGACTTTCCAACCTTTTGGGCTTTTTCCGCGATCTCCAGTTTTCTCCCACAAAAATTCCCAAAGCACACAAGAACTATCAAAATAAGATTAAACCATATTTTGTTAGTTCTGAAATAACCTAGTTTGTGTCAAGTGGACGCTGAACCCCATTTCTCTATCTCTCGTCTCTAACTTACATGTAGTCAAGTTAAAGAGCTAATAATATATGTCAGCATTGTCTTCAGGAATATTTTATTACCCTGGTGATCATGATATAGGAGCTGGCTGTGCATTATTTTTAAAACACCTGATACCACTTCACTTGGTTAACATTTTTGCATGTACTTTTGCTTTTACTAAATATGCAAATAATGCAAAACGACTACACCTGAATGTTTTACTATACATAGTATGCTCTTTAAAGCTGTGGTTATATATATATTGTTACCAAAGAGTGTATTCAGGACTAAATGTTTATACTGCAAAAATAAACTAGTCACAAAATTGTAAACAAATACAATGATGCCAGTAAAAAATGGATGTGGAATGGAGTTATTACAAAGGACTGACACATTGACACAGTTTATAATACAAGACATAAGAAGTCCTGAATATACGAGAAGTTCGGAATTACATGCACGGCTAACTGGTCTGCCCTTGTATTTACTGGTCCTTGGCTTAATTGGGACCATTTTCTTGGTTTGACCGCATATTTTATTTTAGCGTACATAGAAATGCTTTATGTATTAGTGTCGGCCCTGGTCTTAATCTGGCATTGCGGGTTATATTCGATGTGATTACTGTACAGCATAAGCGTTCAGAAATGAAATAGGGTTTAACATCCTATTTTTTTGCACTGGCTGGGATTATGAAGACAGAGTTTGCTAACAGTATTTCAATAATGTAGCCCCCCCCCCCTCCTTCAGTTCCTTAGTGAAGTGAGAAAATTTTGGCCAGGATGTAAAATATTAAACAAAGGCTAACTGTATATTTTATTTGATTTGTAGTTACGATGTTGTGCTGTAGACAATGATGATTGGGGTACATATAAATTTACGCAGTGGTATTTAAGTCAAGATGGTAAGTAAAATAACAAACAATGCAATGTATTAAAGATGCATTAGGTAAGATTTAAACAAAAAGTTGACATTTCTCGCTATAATAATTTAAAAATATATAAGAAAAAAGGTATACATAGAAAATTTCAGTCAAATTACTTCAATCTACCGTTATAACGATAATAAACAAAGTCTTTATTATCCATTTTTATACGCCCACATTTTCATGTAGACGTATTATGCCGTTGCCCCTGTCTGTTCGGACATCCGTCCATCAGTCGACAATTTGTTTGTGGACACTCTACAGGTCACAATTTTTGTCCGATTTTGACGAAACTTGAAATATAGGTCTTTCGATATTGGCATGTATCAGACCATGACCTGATTGTATGAAAAATCATGTTTTTAGCTTGTGGACACTCTAGAGGTCACAATATTCATCTGATTTTGAAGAAACTTGGTTCCTTCGATATTTGCACATATCAGATCGTAACTTCCTGAATTATGGCTCATGATTGTACGAAAAATCACATTTTTGGCTCTAGAGGTTACAAGTATTATCCGATTTTAAAAAAAAGTTTCGAATATACCACTGTTACACCATAATGTCAGTTGAGTTCGAATTTTGTGATGCCAAGGTTGTGGACCCTCCAGGGGTCACAATTTTTATCTGATTTTTATGAAACTTAAAATGGTTCCTTTCGATATTCACGCATATCTGACCGTAACTTCCTGGATTATAGCCAGATATATTATTTTTGTACATGTGAATCTTGTAAAATTATAGTAGTAGTTTTGTTGTGGCGGTCCCAAAAATAAAAGTAGTCAGACTGGCACAAATTAACCAGCTAATAGGCGATCATTTATTTCAAATTCATTAAGAATTAATTTGTTCATAAAACAATTCAAGTATGAATCAGGTATAGGAAGCTCACTAGTGTAGATTTCCTCTAGTTATATCTGTAAAATCGTGGACGCTTATATAATGGATATGGTTTGCCACATCTATGACTTTGAAACAAAATTTTGGCATTTTCAAACAGAAATGAAATGAAATGGGGTTTAACATCCAACATGTTTTGCACCAACCATGCTAATAAAGACAAGCAAATGTCATGCTGTGTGCCATCAGGGAAATTATATTGTTTAATGTTCTTATTCTTGTTGTTTATAGACAGAATTCGTCAAAAACCATTTGTTCCTTCCTCATGTTGTGTATATGATGAACGATCAGGTTCTATAAATGATCAAGATAAATGTCAGTACTGGCAGTTAGGACCACCAGGAAATTCATTTACTCAGTTTAAAAATACAGCATTGTATTACCAGGTAAATTTCATTTTCTTTATGATTTCTCCCGTTTGATGCTGACAAAATTCACATTTGTTAGGGATTTGTACAGGGATTCTTCCACCCATCGGCAGTACTGTCAGTAAGGAGTTAATTCATCACAGTCTTGGATTTTATTGTTAGGCTATATGTTGAAAAAAAAGAGAGTCTCATCACTTAATATCAGTATAGTTTTAATTTTAATAAATCTTCATATCTTTTTGTCTTTATGATTCTGATTTTCTGCATTGCATAAGATATATTCGGAATAGCTGCTGATCGGAGGTCTGACATCCGCTATGTTACACACCTGATAATAAGGAGTTTATACACATTTATGATGTGTTGATGCCTTTCATTGGCTGTTTACACAACTAAGAACATGATACATTAATAAAACTTGTCAGATTTTAGTCAGGTACAATACAATATGAAATGAAAACAAATTTGAATTCAGTTATTTTCTAAATGTAGGGTTGTTATGTGGCAGCTAAAAATTTTATAATGGATTCATCTGAAGCAATAGTGGCAGTGGGATTTGCTTTTGGTTTAACTTTGGTGAGTTTTTTTTTATATATTTTCATAATCTTTTGCTTTTATTTTATTTGGATAGTTTTTAAAAGCTCCATCTATAATCATCCCAAAATAAAGATGTGCACCAAAGTCTCATTCCCATGTCCATAAGATCTCATCAACCATTCAAGTGGTTTGGTTAATTTCCATGTTGTGGCTTCACCTTTCTCAACTTGTGGGTTCTCCAGATTCTTTTCAAGACTTTTAGTAAATTATTGAAATAAAATATTTAATATGTAAATTCCAAGTGGACCTTGAACCCAATTTCTCTCTCTGTTCTCTGCCACTGTTGAACATATATAATTTTAATTAGATTTGGTTATATAATTGTCAACTTTTGGCTTAAATGATCAATCGTATTTGTCATCACTTTGTTCAGGTGTAGTCCCCTTTACATTCATGGTGTTCATGCATATAATTAGAAATGTATTTCTTAAATTTTATAGATTTTTGGAATGGTGTTCACTGTATTTTTCTTAAGACATATTGGAAATATTGATGATGAAGAAATTCGAAGAAGACAAAGATCAAAAACACCAAATGATGGTTTGTAAAATAACTTTCAATGTGAGAATGAATGACATTGTTATGATATGGATACAGTATGATTTTATCATCTTTTCATTTGTTCTAATTTTAATATTAATATGTGCACAGCAATTTAATGTGTTCAGTTATTTTAAGATATTCAGCAAAGTATGGAATTGCTGATACTTTTATAAAAAAGAAAGGCATTTAATTGTAAATATCATTTTTGTAGTCAATGTATGTATTTACTTATTAGTTAATGGAAATTTAGATATGATCACGTCACGGAAAACAGATTTTTCATAACAATAATATGATATTCCTTTTATTAAAAATACCTGTCATATCATATGGAAAACAGATTATTCAAACCAAGAAATTGAAATTCCTATTAAAAATCATTATTAGCAAGTATTATTAAAAATCATTATTAAAAATACCTATTAAAAATCATTGTTAAATCAAGAAAAAATGCTTTTTATGATTTATAGCTTTAAAACAATTAATTGATTCACAGAAACCTTAACCATGCTAACTTAATTGTCTATGTGCAGCAAGGAATTTATAGGGAAGTTTGTTATCTTTATTATTATACATGTAATGTCTTTTATTTTAGTCTAACATCATGTAACCAACATATTTTAAATGGTGGAATGTATGGAAGCTTGTACATGTAACTGTGCTTCATGTGTTGTGTACATGTAAATATGTTTTGTAAATCTGTAATACTTTTTAACAAACTAATTATAATATAGATCTTAAAAAAAAGTTCCTTTTATTTACATTACGGTACATACATTTCAAGTTAAAAATTCCATACATGTAGTTTAAACCATTAACTAAAATTATCCATATAGTTTGATGAATACTAAATCTCTGTTATTCAATTGACAAAGAGTGCTTCAATACCTACACGTATATTGGCAATTGAGTGTATTTCTTACATATTGATCAGTAGCCGTACAACTGTGTTATCAAACATCAGAAGAAATTTAAGAATTGCATTATTTAAAAAGAAGTGATTGGGTGGCTAGGAGCAGGTATATTTACTGATTCAAAGAGTGAACAGATTTATTCATGAATGAAACTGTATCTCAGCTTTAAGCTGGGCAAAATAAACCTAAAATGCACAATTTAAACCACTGCAGAAATAAAGAGACACCATAAATACCTAATTACTCAGGGAAGATCAATTCCTTCTTGAAATCTTAAATCCTAGCTTTTATAATTATTAGTTTAGTGAGAGATATACAGTAGTAAAATCTATATTATGGTTTCAATTTTTGTTTGAATTATTACAATCTGATTAAAATACAGATCTATATTTCATTTCGGTTTTTTTATACTTTTGATGGCCTACACTTCATGAAGATCTGACCAGTTGTACTTGAAGGTCATGTCAGGGGTTGTACAAGCGGCTTTAGACCCTATGACCTCCGACATTGATTAATCCATCAGCGTTGACATTTCTAGTGGTTTACCCACAGTTCCGTGCATCGCACACCAAGAAGTCGCCCTAACAAATGGTTTCATTGGCTAATCCCTCACGCCATCCAGAACACAGGTTATATAACAACTCTTTCAGACCCTAGTGACTAGTACAGACAAATAAAACAAAATTTTGAACTATAAAAAACAAAACGAAATAGGATCTGTGTTTAATCGGATTGGATTTATTATATATTATTTTTGAGTTTTTCAAACATTGTTTTGGGTTTGCTCTACTGATTGTCCAATACACTGTCTGAAATGAACATATATATACAACCTCAGAAGAAAAATTTTGACCATTTTAATACTAAAGTGGTAGTTTTGTATGCACATGTTTGAAAATCTCAATCTTTTTTATTTTATTTTGGTACTTTTGGCTAATTTTCTCCTGACTATTTATTATGCTTTGGTTACTAAGTGTTCCAAGCAATGATGATTTTTTTTTATCTGGAAATTAAACACTATTATATTCCATAAGTCTAACCCTTGGTGTTTTTTATTCCATTTTGGTTGAGCAATGGTTTCCATGTGTTTATTTATAGTGTAGCATAATTAGTAGATGAGGTGAACTTAGATTAGAAATTATATAAATTGTGTACCACATAATGTATATTAAATAACTTGTAATAAAAATACAGATTTTATAAGACTAACAAAATAAGTGCCTTGTGCATTGATTGTCATTGCTTTGGAGTTTTTATAGTCCTACTCAATTGATTTGACTTTATAAAGGCTAAATGCGTGAAACACTTTTTGACTTAAGCACTCTGAGCAATTTCTTATTTCTGTGTTCTTCAACAGGTATAAATGGGCAAATTTATAGGATGTTATGAGATGCATGTCACGTTTTTACTAGTTACATTTTTCTTAATCAGATATACATGTACAAAAAATAAGTTAAATTTCTTGATCCTTATGATTGTTTCTTATTGAATAAAATATTTTATTTTAATATCATTCTCCTAGCCATGTGTGTCTGGCCATCTATTTTTTTAAAATTTCAGTAAATAATGAAAGGCTTTTTGTAAATTTAGTCAACATGTAAAAAATGATATATAAATATTTTTTAATTGTCGCATTTATACATCTTTTTTCTTTACTTAGTGCTTTTTGAAAACTACAGTGCTTTATGAAAGTCCTCTTCTCTAGTCGAGCCTTCACTATGATTATTATTATTATATATATATTATATTATGATTTAATTACTGTCTGCACTGCTTGTCTAAGGATTTTGACAATAAGATGTGAAACCCAGCGACACCAATTTAATACTTCCCTAGCTAGCTTCCTACATTTATATACATATAGGCTTATATATAAACTAATATTTACTAATAAAATAAATATAATTTATTGGTATAAGACCAAAAAGCCCAATACAGAGGTTTTAAAATAAGAGGTGACTTGACATTTCCTATTTTCTCTTGCCACTGGTAATGTTTTTTTACTCAGTGTGAGAAAGATATTTTTTACTAAGTGAAGCTGTAAACAGATTCTGCTAGCTAATTAGTTTAAAACCACGAAGAAGAATCAAGCTTGTCATCCGATATTTGCTCACAATATATAAATTATACATTTTAATACTTTTTTTACACACTTTTTGTAAATTTATTATGTACCTTAATTAGTGCCTTAACAGGTGCGGGACGATTTACCCATTACCACCCATTACTAACTAAATACTACTTGAAGGAGCTAAATCGCTAATATTTGGAACCTAGAAATTGACACAAATGGGTCGCAACGCATTTAATAATAAATATGAATGTATCTAAACTTATTTACATTCAATCGTTTCCGTTTTAATCGAATAACAATCTCTAGTGTCTGGTTATTCCAGTCTACACCGATAGTATTTATAGCACATGCACTCCAGATAAAAATATGGCATCACCGTTTGGGGTGACTTGTGGAATATGTCTAGCCTTCGAGTTCCTTGTTACAAATAGCCCTGAAATGCATTACGATAGACGATTCGTGTACCAATGGTAAAATATTTATTTTGTCTTAAATGTTGGGTATCAGAAGCCCATCTTTTCCCAGTAAGATCACGACATTAATGTTGATTTAAATTGACATGTAATTCATGTTTTCAATGTCGAAGACTTTGGATGGTATTGAGTTAGAGACTTGGCTACTTTAATACCACCACATACTACTTCAATATTGTGAAAAACTAAGATAATACTTCAATTATATAAAGAAAAATTGAGTTAATTCATGGAAAACTTGCAAAAATGTACCACTCTTAATCACCAAATACTAACAATAACCCATGCATAAAATCAGAAATCACTCCATTTCTGTAAAATAATGGGTCAGTATTTCCTAAAAATGAGATAAAAGTACAATTATTTGAATAATAACACGTTTGTTTGTGGTACCATAAATAGATATTTCAAATGTTGGCACTTACTATAGGAATTACCTCATTGATATTGAAGTAATTACAGAATTTTGTCAGTTTGGGATATTAATAAGGTAGTATGTGGCTGAATTATGTCGGATTGGGTTAGAATTGGAAGTTATTTGGTCATATTTGGCTAGATCTTTAGACGCTTTATCTTAAAAAGTTTTCTAATTCCGCGAATTAATTCTCTCTTTTTTTGTATATAATTATAATTGAAGTATTATGTTAGTTTTTCACAATAATAAGGTAGTATGTGGTGGTATGTAGTAGTATTTAATTAGTATTGAGTAAATCGCTCTGCCGCCTTAACAGCACAAACATTTTGCATACATCATAGTTTGTCATACTCTGTGTTTTATACTCTGAATGAAAAAAAAAAGAGGAATCAAAAGAATCTTAAAGATGCATTATGTAAGATTAAGATATAGAGCTGGCATAATGGATCTTTAAGTGATTGTTTACTCCTTACTACAGTCTGTTTTTGTTGTGTAGAACTAATTTTATTCATTTTTGTGAACAACAGAAACATTTACTTTCTGGATGGCAGCCAGTTTCTTTTGTCATTTTGTTAATCATAGTATCATTTTAGCACTTCAAATGCATTCCATGTATCATGATATACTGTAAATTATAAGATAGTTTTAAACTTGCACTTAACTTCATACACTTTGTCATTTACAGGGTTACATTAAACCCTAACATATTATATCATTTTGAAATAAAAAGTTTTTATGTTACAATTTGTTCCAATATTCTACTATATCCGAAAAATATAAATAACTTGAATGAAAACTGTTCTGTTTGATTATTAATGCTTGCAACTGAAAATTTTGATTGTTGTAATTCTAAAAGAAATGTTATTCTGAGAAGAACAAGAATTGACCAAGTAAAATTTAGCCAAAAGTTTCAAGTGATGACAATGGGTATTTTCTAATTGGACTATGTGCACTTATTTGATTAAAAATGGAACAGTAAAAAATATTTTGTGTGGCTAGATGTTAAGATTGAATATTATATATTCCTATTTCATTTAATGTAAGAATAATTATAGTAAACTTTGGCCAAATGTTTTTTAATATAAGAGATAAGAGTGGCTATTAAGACCTGGTTATCGCAGGCGTCGGTGACTATTTTCGGTCGTATTGAACTCTTCAGACTGATTGGACTCGTGTGTGTGTGTGTGAAATAGCTTTATTTAACGTCCGCTTCCACAGAAGTGATATCGCAGACAGTGGACTCATATAACAGATTTTTTTATTTATACTATTCTGAAACCCAGGTGGGGTTTCCATGGTTACTGATTGTCAGGATTACCGGCAATGGCCTCCAAGCAAGGTTTGCGAATTTGTTACCAGGGTCAGTAGCTCACTTACCGGGGTTGTACAAGGGTTTGACAACTGATCGTTTTAGATTGAAGTGCTAGTGTCCATAATTTTGCTAACTAAGATGCCTTTTGTTAGATTGTAACATTGTTACTTGTCATAAAAATAAAGGGATATTATATAGACAAGGATGTTGAGATAACTTCTGTAAGAGGGTTATAAGGCTAAATATAAATCCAAAGTTGGAACACTCAGGGGCAGAGAATTGTATAGCAAAAATAAAAATGGTTGCGGTGCCCAAGGTTAGATTTATTTTTGATTCAATAAAGTAGTTAGTTTTTTAAACGTTAAATACTGTGTAATTCAACATGGCACCTGAGGGGGTTTAATATATTTAGGTACCTTGGGCACCCCGACAATTTTTATCCTGCGCCGAACGAAGTTAGCCGGGGGATATTGAAATGGGGTCCGTCCAGAGCATATCTCATAAACCGTTTAAGATATCTTTCTGAAACTTTGTACACACATCAACCTATTACAGTATAGTTGTACCTTTTGCTGTTTAGGAATTTCTGGGATTTATATTTTTTGTGTTCCCATGGAAACAAATTTGAATTAGTTTTTGGTGTATAATTATGTTTCCGGAGCATATCTCATAAACCATGTAAGATATTTTTTTGAAACTTCATACACACATCAACTCATTAGAGTAGTTGTGCCTTTCGCTATTTAGGAATTTCTGGGTTTTATATTTTTTTAAGTTTGAAATGTGCAAACCTTACAGGGAGTAGCGACCATGCCTTTCCGAGCTACTGTGATCTGACTAGCCCCATTGATATTCCAAAAAAGTTATTTTCCTTATGCTCCAAACAAGTGCGCGGGATGGGGATGACTAGTTATCTTGTTAGTTTTGTTATAACAATCTTTTTTTTTTAAGTTTGATTAGTTTCATGTGATAACAGTGGGTGTTCTCTAATTGGAGTATGTGCTTTGTGCACTTATTCGGCCACAAAAGTTAGAAAACATTATTTTGTGTAGCTAGATGTTGAGATTGAATAGTATATTATTCCTATTTCATTTAATATAATAATAGTAAACTTTGGTCACCTGTTTTTAACAGTTTCAAGTGATAACAATTGATGTGCTCTAATTGGAGTATATGCAATGTGCACTTAATTGGTTGAAAATGGTATAAAAACCATTATTGTTTGGAAATAGATGTTGAGATATTTCATTTAATGTAGGAATTATCATTAATTTAACTGTCTTATAATTTTATCCTAATACAATTTCTATGAGAGTATCTCTAGTTATAATTACCTCAATTATTATGTAATTTAATTGTTCATTCATTCATGTTTTTTGTATGTATTAAATTCTATCTAAAGGACCCATATTAAATTAATTTTTTTATCATACTTGACTTAGTATTTTGTAAGGTTCAAAATGGAAACATAGAATATAAAATTATTGGACATGATTAAACAAATATATATTTCATTTTGAAGAACCTTTATTAATTTAATTTTCCCAATTCATATTGAGAGAACTATTTATAAAATCATCTTGATAAATTTAAAATGGCTAAACGTCTTTGATTGGGGTAAAAAAGTAAAATTGTTGATTTCATTGGAATATGTTGATTTAAGTTTTGTGGGATGGCAATCTGTTTTTATTGAAAATTTGAAATTTTTGTTCGGATATGTCTGACTTTGTGTTTGCCTCTAAAATGAAACACCCCGATAAAGAGAGGGTTCCCATTCACTGATTGAGATAACACATCAGATCCACACAATTTTTTATTTGAGTGTTACCTAAATCAAACAGACTTAATTAGCTCCCTTAAGAAAAATGTTTTGTACATCAATAAAAATATGTTTGCTTAGTTTTATATTTTTGTTTCTATGTACTGACTCTTCAACTTTATTTGGTAAATCATTCCATGTTTTCTACCTGCAATTGGATATAAATCACTTGCAGATTTTTTTGTAATATAAAGAAATAAAATTGTACAAAATTGTATTATCGTTGGGTAATTTTTTTTATTGAGTTTGGGTTACTGATCATCCATTCTACGACGTTTTCCGTAATGGGAAAGAAACAGATGGGTCGAAGTCTGTTATCTACCAAAGCTGGACCTAGATCTTTCACTCTTTACCGAACCGATATCTAACCGTCTCCTCCGCGTCATCAATAGGCTGTGCTCTCTGTATTTGTCTTTATTTGGAGTAACGCTTCCTTTAGAAACCAGTCTCTTGATCGTCCTTCTCTACAGCACCTTATAGAAATAAAATACAGTTTCACAAGACTGTCAATACATCTGAAATAGAAATGAAATGAAATGGGGTTTAACGTCCTACTTTCTGAAATAGAAGATACCCCAAATATTCAGGAATAATTAACTAAAAGTAATGAAATCTAGAGCTGACAGGACGATTTACCCAATGCTACCCAATTCGACCCAATACTATTTAAATACTATCTCATTATCGTGGACAAAGTAACATAATACTTAAATTATATAAAAAAAAACATGCAAAAAATGTATGACAAATGTGATGGTCAATGTTTCGCTATTCCAATTTGAACAGTTATTTGATCTACTCGGGGGGGGGGGGGGGGAATAGTTGAATCATAAGGCCTGTCATTAGGTCAACTGGCGTGGTTTCGATTCCCCAGTTGTACTTGAAAGGAAGTAGGGTCGCCTGTCCAAACTCGTGGGTTTTCTCCGGGTCCTCTGGTTTCCTCCCACTGCTAAAGACCCCTACGCGCAAGCACGAATTATTGAAATAGAATTGAACCATATGTTAGACCTGAAATTACCTAGTTTGTGTCGAGTAGACGTTAAAACTCTCTTTTATTATGACGTCATTTAATTATGACTTGATAATGGTCAGATTTGTTGAAATGTTCTGAAAAATTTCGCTATTAATACCCCGACAGTACACAGATTAGCGCTAATAATACCTAACCCTGGACCTAGCCACAATGCTTACTCTAACTCTAACCTACAATCTCACCAACAATCACGTGCCCTAACATCAGTGGCTTTGACAAAAATTGAGCTGGCCTTAACAAATAGATTTAGCCAATTTTAACCATAAGGAGTCCGAGAGTCTTCATCCCCTGCTCTCAAAGAGATAAGCCTCTTTAACGGAATCTGAAGCACTAAGACAGTAATTCTCAATCAGTGTGCCTCGAGATCTTCCTAAGTGTGCCCCGAAGTTTTGAACGGCACACTAAGAAAATGCGAAAAAACACGTGATCCCAATTGAGTATTCACTGGTGTTCATAGCTACGCGTTTTCCTTTACTTAGTAGTTTGAGTCTTTCTATGTGTCTATAACTAGTCTCTGGCTACAGTTGTATGCCGTCTGACTTACCATGTTTTTATTTTGCAAAATTTAAAAATTTTTCACAAATATTTAGCCAGGTGTGCCGCTATATTTTCATGCTTTCCAATGTCTGCCGTTGGCAAAAAACAGCGGCTGGCAGGCAGGATACGCCCACATTTTGCAAGAGATGGATAGAGAACAAGCTAAAAACAAAAAGGATTTTTTGTACAATCAGGGGCCATAATCCAGAAAGTTATGGTCTGAAATGAGCAAATATCAAAAGGGACTGAGATTTTTGGAATATAAATATTCATCAAAATTGGATAAAAAATTGTGACCTCTAGAGGGTCCATAACCTTTGAATTACATACTTATATACAATTTGCATACAAAGAGCGGCAATTTTGTCGGCAGTTTCATTTAGGTTTTTCCCAAAATTCCAATTCAACCTTCATTATGGTGGAATAGTGATCTGAACGGTTTTTAAATCGAAAAAAAAATTTGTGACCTCTAGAGAATCCACAAGCTAAAAATGTGATTTTTTTTTACCATAATCCAGGAAGTTACGATCTGAATATCGAAAGGAACCAAGATCTTTGGGTTATAAACATGCATTTCGAGTTTCATCAAAATCGGATCAAAATTGTGACCTCTAGAGTGCCCACAAGCTAAAAATGCGATTTTTCGTACAATCAGGGGCCATAATTATCATGAAGTTTCGATCCAATATGCGCGAATATCAAAAGCAACCAAGATCTTTGGGTTATAAACATGCATTTCAAGTTTCATCAAAATCAGCACAAAATTGTGACCTCCAGAGGGTCCACAACCTTGATATACCAGATGTTTACACTATTTGCGTACGAGGGACGGCCATTTTGTCTGGCAGTTTTGGTCCAATTTTCACGAAATTCGAACTCAACCTGCATTACGGTGTAACGGTGATATAATCAAACGTTTGTTTTTTAAATCGGACAAAATTTGTGACCTGTGGAGAGACCACAAGCCAAAAGCGCGATTTTTCGTACAATCAGGGGCCATAATTCAGGAAGTTACGATCTGATATGGGCGAATATAGAAAGGAACCAAGATCTTTGAGCTATAAACATGCATTTCAAGCTTCTTCAAAATCGGGTCAAAATTGTGACCTCTAGAGTGTCCACAAGCTAAAAACGCGATTTTTCGTACAATCAGGGGCCATAATCCATGAAGTTATGGTCCGATACGTGCCAATATCGAACGGCACCGAGATCGTAGGGAGATAAACCTATATTTCAAGTTACGTTGAAATCGAATAAAAATTGTGACCTGTAGAGTGTCCACAAAAAAATTGTGGACGGACGGACGGACGGACAATTATAAACAGGGGCGACGGCATAATAATACGTCCACATGAAAATGTTGGCGTATACAAAGGTTGAGATTGCGCAGGTAAGTTTTGAATTCGGTATGTCCTACACCTTATAGTGGATCTTGCGAGTCTCAACCCAAAATGGATGTAGCGCAACTTACAATTTCAGCTTCGGTTGGACACAAGTCAGAGTACTCAAAATGAATCATGGTCGACGCAGTGCATAGAAAATGATAATTTGTGTTGTATTTTGTGTCACAAAATCTTTCTAAATCTTTCTAAATGTAGTTGAAAGTTGACCAACGTGTCACAAAGGTTGCTAGAAATCAACATCGGACTCATGATAATTAATATCATCATTTCTTTTAGCTGTTTTACCTTTGTTTTCTATTTTTGTGTTGAAATATCCCATACATGTAATTGATGGTATTGAAAGTTATTACCTCGCCAAACGGTGAAATATTAAAAAATATTTATATACAAATAGCGAAAAAAATTCTTACCTGGGATCCATTGAATACATTTTTAGAATTATAATGAGAAAATATGCTACACAAATAAGTAGAAAGATGTCCTGTTAACTCCAAATACGCTAAATGAATGGTGGAACAATAGACATAACGTCTGGATTTCATTATGACGTCGTTTAGTTATGACTTCATAATGGTAAGATTTCTTGAAATGTTCTGAAAGATTCCACTAATAATAACCCGTCAGTACACAGATTAGCGCTAATAATACCCCGTGGGTACACAGATAAGCTTTGAATTTGGGTATACCGTGGATCTGGCGTATACTCAACACTCGTGTCTCAACCGAAAATGAATGTTTTAGCTGGAAATCAACCTCGGCCCCATCAGCATTTTATTCAACATAAAAACACTACGATGTCCTTGCGTATTCGTGTTCAACTTATAGTCATTTAATTGTTGTAGGGTGCAAACTTTCTGTGTTACAAATTTGATATCTATACCTAAATATACATATGCTGCATTACCTCTCTCAAACAAAACAGTGTTAGACATACATCAGTCCAGAAGTTTGGCCGGGATGAGAAGTCTACTTCCAGTAATTTTAGTTCAGTAGTTCCAGCTAGATTATTGAGTAAAAAAAAAAGCATATTGACTCATCCTTCAAGTGGATACAGAATACAGCCTGTTTGGGGCCGTCCAGTTGTGGGAGAAAAAATAACTACTTCAAGTACTTAGTTTAGGCCGTTCAAGGTCCAACAAGCCAACAGTGAGGCTGATGTCACCCGCTGAAATCCCAAAATAAATAGATGACACATATTAATTAATAGCACATTTATTTTTTCAAAAGTATCAAACAATTAAACTATACACTAGAATCAAAGTTATCTTGTTCCAAAGCATCAATTAATGAAATTGCTTAGCTCTGCTTAGCTTTAGCTGGAAATGTTAATCATTGAACTCAGTCAAGACATTCACCTAATGAACATCTACATCAAGTTTAAACAATCTACCTCAATTAAACGCAGAGTTGTTATGTTCCAAAGTCTTGACCAATCAAAATGCTTATCACTCCTTAGCCTAAGCAGAAATTCTCATCATCGAACTTAGTCAAGGTAATGATATAATGAATCTATACTCGGAGTTTCATCAGTCTCACTTAATTAAAACCAAAGTTATCGTGCCCCAAAGCATCAACCAATCAGATTACTTATCTCTGCTTACCGTAAGCAGACAATGTTTATCATCGAACTCCATCAAGTCATTCACCCAATGAACACCTACACCAAGTTTGAACATTCTACCTCAATTAGAAGAAGAGTTATTGTGTTCCAAATTATCGACCAATCAAATTGCTTATTACTCTGCTTAACCTGAGCAGATAATGCTCATTATCGAACTTAGTCAGGGTATTGATGTAATGAAACTATACACCAAGTTTCATCCCTCTCACTTAATTAGAACTAAAGTTATCGTGTCCCAAAGCATCAGTCAATCAAATTGCTTATCTCTGCTTACCCTAAGCAGAAAATGCCCATCTTCGAACTCCGTCAAGGCATTGACCCAATAAACACCTACACCAAGTTTGAACATTCTAGCTCAATTAGAAAGAGAATTATTGTGTCCAAAAAAGTGTGACGGGCGGACGGACGGACGGACGGACGGACGGACCAACAGACGGACGAACCCATTTTAATAGTCCACTGCTTTCTTCGAAAGGCGGGGGACAATAAAACGTTTCCAGATATTAGGGCGTCAAGGGAGGTGACTCCACACGAATAGCCATAGATTGTCGCAGACTAGTAATATTTTCCCGCTGACTTCAGTGTTTAAAGGAGCTAAATCGCTAACATTTGGGACCTAGAAATTCAAAAAAGTGGGTCGCAACGCATATAATACTGTAATATGAATGTATATAAACTGATTTACATTTAATGGTTTCCGTTTTTACTCCAATTTTAAATCAGTTATGTTCGGCGAAATAAGTCAGCAATCTCAATCGAGTGCAAATTTCTAGCGTCTAGATATTCTAGTCTACATAACTCCATTTGATTTGGTGTAATGTGTCTAGCCTCGTCCCTCGAGTCTCTCAATACAACTGGGGCTGAAGCGCATTATGGTACACGATTCGTGTACCAATGTTAAAAAAATTATTTTATCTTATATATCGGATATCAGAAGCTCATCTTTTCCCGGTAAGTTTACATCATCAATGTTGATTTAAATTGACCAATAATTCGTGTTTTCGATGTCGAAGATTTTGGAGGATTTTGAGTTACGGACTTAGGTCCTTTAATCGATGCCATTTCTTGGCCTATAATCACAAACAGCTCAATTCATGTATGTCTACTTCCTGGTAATGGAAATTCACCAAACACCTGGCGGAAATTGGAAATTCAAACATACTTATTCCAATATAGACCAAAAGTCAACAAAAATTGCTATGGAAAAGGGGTGAGGGGGATTGCTATAAATTTACGCACGACATTTGCCATCAAAAAGTAATGGCGAGCAATTACTATAGTCTTCTTAATCCCGATAATATCCCTTCACTCGGCAAACCTCAACAGATTCCAGTACCCGACATCTAATATGTAGGATACCGGAATCTGCCGAGGTTTGCCGAGTGAATATCCCTTATAACGTGATTTCCGATTAAATCGGATCTTTTGATCAATAAAAGAAAGTTCTTGTTCCATGCAGACTTATGTTGGGAGGTTGGGTCTTGGCTGGTAGAGACCTCTAAAGGAACGGCGATAGATTATCAGGTCACCCAACGAAAAAAATGACCAGAAATCTTAAAAGGGTTACGTGTCCGGATAAGCATTTTTGACGTTCACGTCCAAACAACTCAATATTTTGAGCTGAAATTTTGAGGCAGGGTAAATACACCATTCCTCTATATTTTGGCGCTTAAATTTCATACGAACTCGGACTTTTGTTTTTGAGACTCTGTTCAAATCGGGATAGTCCCTTTAATACAACACCAAGCAAAGGTTTATATTATAATTAAACATAATGAGGTGATAGAAAAACATTATATGGCAGTTACGCAAAGACAAGGAATCGCACCAGACTTCGACGACATGTTATTTACAGGTTACCTATTTTGAAGGTTATTGTCCTTTTGAGTAATATGTGATTGGTGGTGATATTACAGACATAATGTTTGTGTGAACGGACATATTTCAATGACGGGTGATTATTCAAATACTTGTTTAGGTATCGATTTGTATAAATACTGCTGATCATAGCCTACTCTTATCAGGTTTTCTGTGATCCTTGTATATAACCTTTCCTCTGGGGTAATATGCTTTCAATATTTTTACAAGAAACCTTACTTTCTGTAGGCTACTATGAATGTTGTATTGTTTGGGTGTAGGTTGTCCCATACACCTTGCAATGTTTCGTTTGATTAGACATTATCCCTAGGGAGGGATTTCTCGGGCCATTGCTTCGGGAATATGGGGTTGTCCTGGCTTCGATTGTTTTTGATATCAAAACATTTTACAAATGATAATGCCTGCGCACAGGTATTCGCGAGGCTTTTACTACACGGTTTTTGATTATCTCTTCTTGGTTTTCGGATCGCCTTTACTAGCTGGTTTATCCATAACTTGATAGGTCTGTATTATCTCCAAAGACAGATTTCCCAGTATGCATGCAGGGCCGGGGCCTGTAGTAAATGTTACAGGCGCTGTCTGAACCACACCCATGATTTGCGCCCCACCCCCACCCCACGAAATAAAAAAAACAACAACATAATAAAGACGATGTATACAATACATATTATTGGTTATGTTCTGTGTGACTTTCCCAATGGTCCACTCTTTGTGGGCCCCTATTCTAGTCACCATGTTCATTGTTCAGAGTTTTTTGGGTTGGAAAACGTGTTTGCGGCTGTCCAATTTTGGCAATTTGATAGTTATGAAAAGTGACTTTAAAACTATTAAAGTTAAACACTATGTGGTCCGTGTTAAACATTTTTGCTCAAAACCAACATTTTTGTTGAAAAACATTGTAATAAAAGAATGTGATGTGAGTCCTTTAAATCGTGACTATAATTGGAGGTAGAGTTGTGTCCCTTTAAAACAATCCCGCCATTTACAAAGATTGTTTTGAGTTTGGCTGTCAATTTTTTGTTCTTGTAAAATGAGCAAATCAAAGGATGCTGGAGTGGGTGAGGCTGTTGAGGCCTACTTGAATAGGCAAAACAGACCTTACAGTGTTGTAGACATTTTCAATAACCTGAAAGATTTCGGGAAAACAGCAGTTGTAAAGGCTTGTGAATCTCTCGTTGAACAGAACAGAATCAAAGAAAAGGTATATGGTAAACAAAAGGTTTACGTTGCAGATCAGTCTAAATTTCCTGATGTGAATGACAACGAAATTAAAATGATGGACTCGGAAATTGTTGATCTCACAGAAAAAGTTAACAGTAAACTCGACAAGGTGAAAGCACTTGAAACTGTACTAAAAACATTTACGAATGCTGTATCCACGAAAGATGCCATTCAGCAGCTGTCGCAAGTGACAACGGAATGTGAAAAATATAAAGCTAAACTTAAAATACTTTCCGAGGGCCAAGTGTTGATTTCCGCTCAAGATAAAGAAACAGTTTACAAAGGTCGAGAGAAATATGTAAAGGAATGGAGAAAAAGGAAGCGAATATCGAATGACATTGTGAATGCTATTTTAGAAGGCTATCCTAAGTCAAAGAAAGAACTTTTAGAAACGATAGGTATTGAAACCGATGAAGAGATCGGCGTTTCGCCACCAAAGATTTGACACTAACAATATTTTTGATTTATTTTATATTGAATGATCCCCAACTGTGGAAATGGATAGATATCTATAAATTATTACCCGACAAGACTTATTTGTTGTTTCATTTTCTATTGTTATTGATTACTTAAAACTATGTATGGACTGAAAAAATGTTATATTTATTATAATACCCATATTATGAGCATCTAGCATGGAGTTACAACATTTTATATTTATTGCCTGACCATCTCTGCATCTCACAAACCTCCACATGTCTAACATACAAAAATTTGAAAACTCTATAATTAATATAAACTGGTGGAGTTTCTAATTAACAAGCTTATTTGATAAAAAATACTGATTGATGGCATGTTATTCTGGCTTCATTAATTTAAAAACGGGGCTGAAATACGTGAGGTTTATGAATCGTCTTACTTTAAAACATGATTCTTACTTTAAAATATGATTCACGAAGGACATAACACACACAAAACAACTATAAATATAAACAAATCAGAAAATAAACTAAAATTAAATGCAGTTTTAATTATTTTGTTATTTACATGTATTCAATGGGGAAGAAAGAACATGTCGATATGATGGCCACATACCGTCCAAATGCATGATCTAACATTTGATCAGAAATCCTAAAAATGGACATACATTTTCGAAGAATTAGCACATTATTAAGCCCTAATTCCTCTTCTACCCAATAGCAGAACGCTAGTCAGCGATTTTATGTAAAATCTCCCAGACATGCTACTTCTTAATTTGTTACTCTGCGTTGCCTTGGAAGCAGAGAAATCGTTTGATTTTAATAATGAAGACTCTACACTGGGTCATAAGGAAGAATTAAACCCTATTAGACGAATGTATTGAACATTCCAATCGGAAAGTGAATTACAGAGAGGATGAAATGTTACACGAATACATCGCTGTCAGACAGCATCACTGTAGGCCTACATGTATTTATATTATACATGATTGCTCAGATTACATGTCCCTTAAAAACGATATTTTCATCACTTGTACATATGGCTATTTTTGGTCCTAAATGACTATATAGTATTTCCCTAACCTTTTTAATGATCATTGGGATAGTTATCGGCCCGATAAAGCCCTCGTTAGGCCTGCAGCCAAAATGTCTTGCTTGCTTTGAAGTACAATTCCGCGACATGATCCTCGAAGCTAAACAAACTAAACATTTTTGGAAAGCTTATAACAATGTTTCTTTATAGTAGATGTATCTTTCCAGACCGAAATTATGAAACAATGACCACAGACAGTATTCTGGTTCAGAAAATATATGCCCGGGGTTGTAAAAGAGATTTTCGGAGAAACAAATTGGAATTCTGGTGTTACCATAGTAATAATAAATTGTTGTTTCAGAAGAACATTGGGCATTTATGTATGTATATATATAATCTTTTCATAATTTTAAAAGAAATGGAATAAATTGGTGTTTAACGTCCTACTGTTCTGCTCCGATCTGGGCAAATGAAGACGGGCATACACCATACAGTGTGCTATGAGGGAAATTTTGCCCAGACAGCCGCATTACTGCCTACTCTTATATGTAAACTGGTGTGATGTGACTCCTCAGTCCGGCAAAAGATAATTTGACATTCTTTTTTATAACTCGTATCATGTTAACACTTTTACCGGTGGACCTGCGATTTTGAAATGAAGTTTTGTCAAACATCCATATTATATATGTGAATGATACATGTACTTTATTCGTGTACTAGTGCACTCGTTTTTTCTTTGCCATCCGATATACAAGCTGTGGACGGATCTGTTCTGGGATACATATCAGATAGATGATTCAGGACGAGAATCTGAGGCAAAATTCTTGATAAAAATCAGGCTCTACGACTCTGACGCCCCGCCCCAATGCACTATAGTCTATTTACCTTTACGTGTTAACACATTTCGAGTATTTAACTCCAAATGCAATCATGTACAGCAGTTACCAAGAGCCTTCGCTTAAAATCTAGACTGATATACCGTTTTGTAAAATTGTAAAAATGTGTTCCTAATCGATTGAGAAATATACCGAACGTTTTACTGGAAGTACTTATTCTTGCTAATACATCTAGATATTGATTTAAAAATATATAGAATAAAAATCTAGATTGTCGACTGCCATCTCGAACAACTCACCATTTCTAGAATTTACTTATTTATTGAAACTGTGGCATTTGTCTTCCCCAATCGAATTATGATATTGTCCATTAGTGTTGACGGTGGCGAGAAATCGCCTATGTGAAAATGCTATGATGTGCGCTGAATATTTACCCGAACCCCCGAAATCAGGCCGTCGACAAGTAATTCTTTTAAGTTAATTTTTTCTACGATATCACCCTAGTTGGAAGCTGACATTAATCCCTAGCTTCTACTACCTACTACTTCTACTACTACTATAACTCCTACGATATCGGATATTATTGTCGTCTGACACGTTCATCTTGTTTTAAGTCTGATATTATAGTCAACATTACATTAAAAACTATTAGAAGAAAAAAAAATAGAAAACACAAATCACATGCGTCATAGGAAATAAATATTTTAATCACAGCTTTCATAGCAAAACAGCATGCCAAATGCAATAATAAAAATATATATATATATAATGTATTTAAGAAGTATTATTTTAATTCATAATTGTTCAGTTATTTTCTACTTTTGTGGCGATGAGCATTTTTAGATTTAGAATGGTGACTATTTTTATTATTATTACATAACATATTAACTTTCAGTTTACACTCATATATTAGACCCAGGCATGCTTTTCGGACATGTTCGTTTACAATACCGTATATGAGAGGATTTGTAGCATTTCCCAAAAAGAACATATACCTTAGCACCACATTCCGTGTTGCCCCGAAGATGTCAAACCAGAATGGCATCCACGAAACCACATAGATGACGGTACACAGAAATAACATTTTCGCAGTGCGATGATGTAGATTACGATGTCTGGTTCGTGTTAAAGTTGTTGTTGAGTTTACAGATATTTGAACATCGTCACTAACTGTGTGCTCAGTACTTGTCGAGGGCAATGACTGATCACTTCCTGTGGTCGTACTGCTTTCAGAACCCGCATACTTCATTTTCAAGTCCCCGGATATTGTTTTTAAATCTCCATATATGCTTCTTAAGTTTTCGGGTTCATTTTTCCAATCCATGGATTTATTGTTATGCGCTTTCAGTTCAGTTTTGGAGATCTGACTGTTCGCGTGATCCAAGCCCAATTTTGCTTTTACATCATCAGGGTTAGTATATATCACTTCCGGCCCGTTATTTAAATCATCACATTTATTTTGGAACCCATCAACCGCTGTCTCTAAGTCCTCCAAAACGTGTTCCAAATCTACGGTCACAGTAATTAAGTCTTTAGGTTCACTTTTCGAGTCTTCTGACCCGATCTTTATATCCTTGGACACGGTTTTTAAGTCTCCACTTTCAGATGTTGATTTAAGTCCTTTATTTTTGACTTCTTTAGTTTTAACTTTCGTTTGTTCCTTTTTAGTTTTTGACTTTTCTGGTTTTATTTTTACTTCGCGGTCTCTGTTTTTACCATTTTCGGATTTTTCGTTTCTATGAGCGGGGGCGTTGTGTCTTCGATTTTTGAGATCTTTTGTGGCTTTCATATCGCGTTTTGGTACTTTTGTTACGCCCGGCGGTTTGGTTTTATTACTAGACTGTTTGGAATTCTGACTGAGCGCACTAGATTGTTTGGAATTCCGACTGAACGCACTTGACTGTTTGGAATTCTGACTGAGCGCACTTGACTGTTTGGAATTCTGACTGAGCGCACTCGACTGTTTGGAATTCTGACTGGGCGCACTCGACTGTTTGGAATTCTGACTGGGCGCACTGGACTGCTTAGAATTCTGGCTTGGTGCCGTATATATACTAGACTCGAATGTCTCACTTGACGCTTGACTTCTCTCGGCATAATCCGATCCAATATATTTCATTCTCGCTCTCCTTAATTTGGCTCTTTTCCACAAGACAGAATAAACTATTGAATAAAATATCACAATCATTATCAGAGTAATAAAAAAAGAAAGCATTAACACCGATTGATAAATATAAGCAACCGTTTCTCCAACAATAGCAGTTGTAAAATGACAAACCATGGTGTCATTAGAAACATGCGGAAATGAACAGTTTATATCTTGAACAGTAGACGTTGGCACCACGGCAAATATCCCAATGGACGGGAAAGCTAATATTAAACTAACCGTCAACATCACTAACATTCCTTGGTTCACATTCTGTACACTGAATCGTTGAGACAGACGACACACGGCACAGTAGCGTTCGACGGCAATGGCTACCAACGTCATATTGGACGCAATGATTGTAAAATGCCGCAAAAACTCTACACCTCGACAAATGATGTCAGATTGCACCATATGAAGTTCATAGATAAGGGTGTACGGCATTATCATGGCACTAACCACTAAATCAATTACGGCCAACACACGAATGAACGTATTTGCAGCTTTTTTGTCCCGTTTTCGAAAGTACACAACTAAAACTGGCAGATTTCCCGCTGTTCCAAGTACTGAATATATTCCGATAGATATTGCCAACACAAGGTATTGGGTGGACATCGTAATCTCACTTTCGACATTGTCGGGAATGTCGTCATCGAGTTCGTCCACTTCCGAACTGATATTAGAATCCACATACAGGCCATAATTTGGCGTGATCATTTTTTCAAGTCTGGTTGTAAATTGTATGTCTCCAGTTTTCCGATTTGATATGAATAATCGTCAAGTGAATAAAACAGTTCTTATATTTGTATAAATAATTAATCACGTGATTGGAAGTAATTAATTACGTATCTATTCCTCGAACTTCATATTTCTGGCAAGAAACAGCTTGTTATATACCAAAAAACGTTCTTCAATTTCAAGAGAAATCCACCATAACATCAGCTTAAACCATTTGATCAGATTTCAATGTCATATTTGGAAACCATTTCCGGTCATACACTAAATCTGTAAAAGAAACGGATATATATGTTTTAATATCAATTTATGCGTTTTAATACCGTTGACTATTAAGTTGATTTGAAAAACATTGTTAAGTTATTAATAAATTCAATTTGCAATTTTTATTTTATTTTCTTCTGTTCTAAAAATAACAACCATGGGAACATTAATTACTTATCAATAATGTCGGTATTGAAAATTTTATAAACATTTTGCGTAAAATAAATAAATAATAACACATAATGAAAAGGAATTATTTTGAAAATAAAATATGAATTCCTGAAATGAAAAAGAAAAGAAGAAACATAATATAATCATTAAATATATCAATGTATCATAATTTCCCATTTCACCACATTCTAGAATATAGAAATAACATAATAAATAATAAGTGAACATGCAAATCATGCAGCAGATAAGCCATTATTCATTCAAAGATAAATATAGACACATATCCGTGAATTAAATCTTGATATAAAAATACGTCATCAGTAAAATACTGATATTGTCCTGAATATAATTAATGTACCACTATTGAAAAAAATACTGATAATGCCTGGAGCATTAAATACCGCCATTAATGTAAAAATGATATTGGCAAGGGTGTGATATAAAGATATTGATAAAATAGTTATCAATAAAATACTGATTTTGTATATTGTCTCGAATCGATACACTGTTATTAATAAAGTATTCATGTTTTACCTCTAGATATTGATACAATTGTCCAGAGTAAAAATATACCATATTGTCTCGAGCAATGTTTACCACGATCAAAATATTGATATTGTCTGAGATACTGAGATTCTATCCCCAAAACAATACAAAAATACACCGCTATAAGTAAATAAGTCGTATAGTTGAATATAATAGACGTCTAATAATAACCTCCTGATTATTCGAATTACGATAATATGGAATTTAATCCCAATTCCATGATTTAAGATGTTTTTCTCCAATCTTACCAGAATTTAATTACATTTCCCCTGATTTATGTTGTCACGTCTAGTTTGCACTAGATATCGCATATACATGTATATCCCATAAGGTTATTATTTTACTTGATACTTTAATATCTTATGTGTTTATTTTGAAAACAGCTTTATCATTATTGGTCTCGTTGACAAGCCATTATTACTAAATGCAATTTTCTGCTGGCTCGTAAATCAATGGAATAATAGAGTTATTATCAAAAGCTTTTAAAGCCGCGTAAAATTTCATAAAATGCCCAGTAATGTAAAAATGGTCTCCGATGCAATGTATCTAATGAAACTTGATATATCTGAATAGCTGGGCTGGGGTTTGAGGTCGAGATGGGGAGAAAGAATTGAATTTGACACAATGCCGTCATTCTGCACAAATGATCCAATCATCCAAATCTCTCTCCCCTCCTCCACCACAACCTCCGAAACAGTTCTTCGTATACATTCATAAGTATTTGAGAGACTGCAAGATTAGTTTTGTTAGTTGTATTAGATTAAGGGAATTTCCAAGTAACCTCCAATAGTTTTATCATTTTTTTTTGGTTTTTTTGTTTGAATATGCTTGCCGATTTTAGTTATGTTGTAGTGGTTATATAATTTGCACTGCTATATTATCCCCCATTATCTCAATGTCGCTAGATCATTATGAATATCACAGTGATTTCTAATCAGATTTTTACCATGCGATTTTATTAAGGGCGATGCACTTAGCGACGTAAAGTTAGCCCGTGGGTCGTTGTTCGTTATTTACGAGAGTATTTTTTTTAAAGAGCCTAATGGTTTATAACACTTCAAAGTCTTGGGAAATAGATTCTAAGAAGCTGTCTTTCTACCAGAATAACAAGCTATAGGCCTTATTGGTTTATAACACTTCAAAGTCTTGGGAAATAGATACTAACAAGCTGTCCTACCCGAATAACGAGTTGTTATTCTCGAATAACGGACAACAATCCACAAGCTAACTTCACCTCGCTGACGCAGTCAAGAACAAGGTATTAGATATTACAATGAACCCACTATTATACGACTGTTCTAACTATTCATTCTAACTACATAAACTCGCTAACATTTTAATACAGGTGCACGGAGTTCAAATAGTATCTTAAATATCCCACAAAAAGAGGTAGTAGTGGTCGTCAACGAGGGGTACAAATTAATTTTTTCGATTTGACATGTTCTAACTTTCGGACAACCAAGTTAATCCAATTAATTGTAATTAAAGTTATACAAAGTTTGTCCGTGCTTAACTGATTACGAGAATCTAAGGTTTATCACATAATTAAACCTATTTACTGGGTGAATGTGATAACGTCTCTTCAAGTAAATCTGCGAAAATAAGTGAAATAATATGCATGTCTTCTTTACCGTCCTATCCATATTTGATACTAGATACCGGAAATTCATTATTTATGTTATTTAGATACATATAGTCGAATACAGATATATTTTGTGTGTACAATTATATTTCAAGTAATTTATAAGCCTCTTGGCCCGTTTTTGCATCCTGTATAGTAAATTTTCTATTTACTTTTACATATATTTATGAAATACATTGTTAAATCAATACTATATGGAGAAAACCTGTACGAAATAGCATTCAAAACTATTGATTATTGGATTTAGGATTGGCTGATGATCGGTATTTTCCATGTAGGATATCCCTTTGTGTGTCTATAGCCGTTCCTTGCTGTGGCAACGTCTACATTCATGCCTAAATCTATAACTAAATCCATGTTATTCCATGCTATAATATTCAAAATCACACCCTGCCACCATTATTGCCTATTAATGCTAATTTTACAATCTTTCATACATATTCATGCTGAACATTTTGAGGAAAGACAGCAGCTATTGATTATTTTGAAAAATAAGAACTTAACAGTATCTCTGGCTAAGATAAAGACTTTGAGACTGATAAAGACTGAATTTTAAACTCTGTTGAATATCATTTTACAGTGTTTAAATGTTTTATAATAATCGTTAGAAGGCTATTGATGCTTTGTCCAAGAATAGCGTGTTAGCCATCAAAGGAAATTATACACACTAAAAGAAATACAAGTTATATGCCGGGAATCATGGTTTAACTCGATGGTCTATATAAATGTATTGTAAGGTTATCAGTTTACTACGGTCGCTCTTTGTAAATAAAAAAAAGGTACCAAGCCAAACCGTCTGCCTAGTCAAACGTTGACAACAACATGGGAGGTTTAAAATGTAAATATATGAACTAGCAATTCGATTCATTTATTGTTCACTGAATTTTATATCCGTACAAATAAAAGGTACCATCTTAAACATCCGACTATTATTGTGCTAGCGTCCAACACTTGTTTTTCTGACACAGCTGTGAACTTCATTATTACAAATATTATCTGGTTTACATTAGAGCATTGCTATAATAAATATGTCATAATGTGAAAGATCTTATTGATTTACTTCAGCACCCCCTTAATCGCCAATATAAAAGTCAAACATTTCACTTTATTCCAGGGATTAAATAATTCTTTTGTTAATCCCGCAAAGCCGTGTATTTAAATATAAATTTTTAAAATTCTTGATTATTAAAAACTATTTATATAAGATTAGAAAGCTGAACAAATCATAATAATACCATCGTGACTATATCACATAGACGATATGACATTTGTAGCTAAGAAATATATAACTGTGCACCCGTTCCAATATTATTACCGCCTATAGAAGGGAGAGAGGGAGAAATGGGGTTTAACGTCAATTCGACAGAAACTAGGTCATTTCGGGATTAACATATGGTTAAATTTTATTTCAATAATTTGCTTGCGCGTAGCGGTCTTTAGCAGTGGGAGGAAACCGGAGGACCCGGAGAAAACCCACGAGGTTGGACAGGCGACCCTACTCCTTGTCACGTACAACCGGGGATTCGAAACCACGCCAGTAGACTCAATGACAGGCTTTATGATACAGCGCGCACGTGCTAACCATTCAGCCACCCCCCCCCCCCTATAGAAGGGAAAAATAATAACAAATAAATCGGCCTATAAGAAGGTAAACGGCAACCCGTTTTTACCGTTCGGTAAATTTATGAACTCCATCATATGGACATAAAGCCCACTTTCCAGAATATGCGTATCTTATAGTATGGTGCGTATGTTTTAGGCTCGGTTTAATTTTTGTGGCATTACCTCGACTGTCCCTGAAGTTAAAGCTTCCGTGTACGTGGTGGACCTATGGTTTGCTAGGGTTAGGGTTAGGGTCTTGTAAACTGACTCTATAACAAAATCCCCGCGTTGGCCTTTATGTCCCCATGATGAAGGTCGTATTAATTTACCGAACGGTAAAATCTGGTTTCCATTTACCTCCTTATAGGCCGATTTATTTCGTTATTATTATCCCCTTCTAGACGGTAATAATATTGGATCGGGTGAATTATGTTTATATATTTCGTATTTATATGTATATAAATGTTCTATCAAAGGTCGATTTTCGCATAGACAACAGTTATGAGACATTGATTTCTTTGCGTCATTTATGGGGGGGGGGGGGCAATTTCGGCTCGAGGTCCCTATATTATCATCGTTCCAGACATATTTCACTGGACAAAAGATCCAGTCGAAAACGCCATATGTATAATATTAATGGAACACACACTTTGTATAATATTAATGGACAAAACCATATTAATATTAATAGAACACCCTTTTTGTATAATATTAATGGAACAACCCATATCTATAATATTAATGGAACACACTATATGTATAATATAAATGGAACATATATATATATATATATATATATATATAGTGGAATAATAATAATACAGAAAAACTCAGAATTTCAAGACATGCTATTGTTCATTTTAAGGCTGGTGGATTTTAACTCTTTTAGCCCCCAAATATGCCTCCATGCATTATATAGATGGTTTCTTAATGATTATGCAGTGATGATATCTAAGACTATTATTCTAACTATAATAATGAATATGCAATCTGTCAACACCATGCACCAACCCTCATTCTGTACTTACCAGTATCTATGTAAAGGGTTAATATCTATAGATCATGTATATAACTACATGTATATTTGATTGTATTATTATTTGGTTACCATATATTTAAAAGACACGTCTCCTTTATGTATACTAATCTAACTATTTAAATTCAAAAACATTTATCAGGACAACTCACATTTCACCCATTCTCGGCCATTTTCTCTTTTTTTTTTTATTACATTATAGATATATAGAATCTCCTACCAGTTTTTTTTGATATCAAAAAATATCGGCTCTGCCGAGTTTTTTTTACTTTATCAACGAGTGTTGATATTTTTTGATATCAAAAAAGACGAGTAAGATATTCTATTTATCACCCAATCCCTTCTTACATGCACAAATAGATAAATATAATTCTTTGCTGTAGATTTCACTTTTACTGAACATTAAGGCGTAGTGATACATCATTTTTTGACAGCAATTCAACCATTGCAAAGTCCTTTATATTGACCCAGTGTTTCCATCAAGGTCAATTGAATAATAATAGTTCATTTTTAATAAAAAAAAGAGTTACTTTTAATAATAAATGAACCGTTCTTTGAAAATAAAAAAAAGTAGTTCCTTTTCAACTGACCAATCAAATTCATGTAAAGCGATATCTCCTAAGGAGATATCACAGTAGATTATGAAATATATGACACAAGCGATATCTACTGTAGAATGTATTATTGGGTGATAAAGTACGTTATTAAATTTCATACACTATAGTATATATTATCGCCATCCTCATCATCATCGCCATCAGGTTCAAGAAAGAAAAAAAAAACCCAGAGCGTATGCTTGTCAAAGAACATTTCGACTCTTTCCCTTTTACTTTCAGAATAACAACTCAATTTGTAAATGGGTTTATAGTCAGTTTTCTGTTTTACTTCAAGATGCGGTCACACTGTGTGGTGTTTTGTGCTTAGATGACATTATGATCATGTGGTGTTTCGCGGGTAGATAATGTTATATTGGTGACACTGTGTGTTGTTTAGTGCTTAGATGTCATAATGTTTATGTGTTTTTATTATTCTTAAATGATGTTAAATCAATGACACTGTTTGATATTTTGTGCTTAGATGACAAAATGTTTATGTGGTGTTTTGTCTGCAGATGACATTAAATCGGTGACATCGTGTGGTGCTGTGTGCTTATATGAAATAATCTATATGTGGTATTTTGTGTGCAGATGGCGTTAACTCATTGACAGTTGGTGGTGTTTTGTGTTTAGATGTCATAATGTTCATATGTGGTGATTTATGTTCAGATTATTAAGTCGACGTCACTGTGTAGTGATTTGTGTTCAGATGATGTTAAGTCGGTGACACTGTGTGAGATCTGTGCTTGGATGACATAATGTGTATTAGTGTTTTATGTATAGATTATTAAGTCGATGACACTGTGAAGAGTTTTGTGTGCAGACTATGTTAAGTCGGTGACACTAAGTGCGTTCCGTACTTAATAACATAATGTGTATGTGGTGTTCTATGTGCATGCAAATGATGATAAGGCGGGGAAACTGTGTGATATTTTGTATTTCATAACATAATGTGTATGTGGTGTCTATGTGCAGATGATGATGATGATAAGTCGGGGACACTGGGTGGTATTTTGTGTGCAGATGATGTTAAATCGGCAATGTTATATGATGATTTGTGTACAGATCATCTGGAGTGACTTCCGCGTTATGTTTTTAGATGATGCCAATGTGATCTTGTTACAAGATGGTGCAAAGTAAATGTGATGTCTTATGACTAGATGACACTAAACCAAGGCATGTTTAATGTGCAGGTGATGGTGAAAACCGATATAATGTGCTTAGATGTCAAAATGTGTATGTAGTGTTCTGTGTGCAGATGATGCCAATGTCATTTTGTTACAAGATGGTGTAATGTCAGTATGATGTTTTATGACTAGATGACGCTAAACCAAGGCATGTCTTATGTTCAGGTGATGGTGAAAACCGATGTAATGTTCTGTGTTGAATAATGTGTTTATTCCAAGATATAAATGCATTTTCATTATGCAACACTGTTCATTTTCTGTCGGAGAAGAAAAGCAAATAATGCATCCATGGATGCGGAATCATTAACTATTCTCATATTTTGTTTCCAGTTCAGTTACAGTTCATTTACGCGTACGCGTATGGTTTAATGTGACTGATTAACCAGTCTCGTGTGATATTATTTTTTCCATTTCTGTCTTGAAAATAAATGTGTTTAATATCCGCTAACTGACCCCCTTTCTTTCGTGGGATAATTTCGTTTCGTTTTAGCTATAACAACCGATATTATCAGTTCTATGGTTACTGGAAACGACAATAAATGGAAAACTTATGCACAGCACAAGTCGTAAAAAAAATAGTGTGTTCACTGTGATTATCATATTGGTTTAAAGAATGGCACAGATGAATGAAATGAATGAATTATGAATATCATTCTTCTTAATCTCACGTTCAATAGTTAGCATTTTTATGTATTGAGAGATATAATTAGGGTTTAACGTCCACTCGACACAACCTAGGTCATTTCGGGATTAACACATCGTTCAATTTTTATAAATCGCTTGCGCGTTGGGGACCTTAGCAATGGGAGAAAATTCACAGAAACCGGAGAAAAACCAGACGACCCCACATGCTGGGAATCGAAACCGTGTCACTTGACTCGATGACAGTCCTCGTGATCTAAAGCGCACACGTTACAGCATTAGCCCCCTTCCCCTGGTCACGATGAGACCCATATCTAACATAGTTGTGCGAAACTAAATGATCTGTTTTGTTTTTTTGGTTTTTTTTTAAAATAAATAAATAATAATATCAAACAGACGATGTAGACATGAAACCCCATTGGTACTGGTAACGTCAATATTGCACGCTGTTTTTTGTTTTGATTAAGAAATATTTCATTGGCGTATATCAAAAGGGTAATCAATTCTAAATTAGATATAACTATATTTAGTATTTCAATTAACCTAACTGAATTAGCTACTGTTTTGTCTATTAAGTGATGACAACATAAGATGATTGTAATGATGATCCTGGGTATAAATTTCCCCTCCCATATGATGATGGGTAGTATTGAGGATGATGATGAGTAAAATAACCCTGGTGATCAAATATATAGACTTATTTACGAGCAACATAATGGTCTCAAACTACCTTGTTACACCCCCACCCAACCGCCTTTTCCACATCATAAATTAACCATTATACGATATACCAATCTTTTTTTTCTTTGTTTAAAGTAAAACTAAATTCAATGTACACATGTTCGGAATTTTAGTTTTACACAACAAGTGAGCCACTTTGGCGCATTGGGTACCGCGCCGGTTCACACATCAGTGGTGTAGGACGGAAGGCTTGGCAATGTAAAGCATCTCGTACTTCCTTGGGACGAAAACCTGAGTTCCCGTTTACACGTTGACAAACACGTAAAAGAACCTTTGATGTCTGGAATTTGAAGAAGAGTATAGGCTGAAACACCGTTGTCTGGGGGGAAAATATAACTCCTTCATAACATGGGGTGCGGTCATCTTTATTAGCGCAGTTGGTGAAGAAAAGTATAGGACGTTAAACATTATTTCGTTTTATTACACTACAAAACCATTGTTTCAGGTATTTTTTTGTATTCAAGGGGATACCTTCCTGATTTCTCCCCGCAGTTCTCTTCAGAATCAAAATTTTATAAATAAATAAATAAAACTGCTAATACTACAATTACTACAAAATGTCTTCTATTATTGTAATATATTTGGTCGTCACCCCACAGTTGTCTTATTAAGGTAGTAAAACCAAAAGGGTTATTAGTCGCTAAGCAGTTTGGTTATAAATCTGAGGGTTTATAGGGAACCCTACAAAAATGTGCACCTGCAATAGAAACACCTAAACATGGGTTGAATTTGACGCCGAATTGAAATCAACGAAATTGTCACCATACCAGTGTTTACATACCACAGTTTTAATTCAACGATTTTGTTTGCAATTTATACCAAAATAATTCATTTTTTATTACTGTGCCCCTGGAAAATGAGACCCGTAGATTACTGCTCATAATATTTAACTGTTTAGTTCAAATATCTACCCCCAAATTACCTTTATAACAAATTCAAAATTCGATTAATAAATGAAGAGAATTACAAACAAATCAGACATATACTCTATAACTCACACAAAACGACAAAACACATAAGACACATAAACTAGATACATTTCTTATCTGAAAGAAAAACTTTCTATTAGATATATCTACATCATCTAGAATATTTATATTTTAAAAAAATAAAGTAATAAAACAACTCCTACCATTTCCTACCTATAAACTGGTACCTATTATAATTCCTCAACTTTAAACGTCCAAGAAGTCTGCACCACTAGCTGTTTGTAAGTCACCATCATATATTCCACATAGTAGATGTAAAAGACGTCATTCTTCGTCCCAACCTTAAGAAATAGCTTCACATTAAAGTGTCAATACCGACATTGAAACAAGATCCCAAACTTTCTAATAAGGCGATGATTACAATTCTTATGGAAATCTCATAAGGCGAACAATCAAACTGACATCCCGTATTATTTTGGAGAAATCGATTACAGCGTCAGATAGCAGCCAACTTCCATAGTTCAAATATAGTTTTTAACATTCGCAGAACACATACACACAAGAAAAAAAATGTAAACCAAAATTTTACACTGTCAAAACTAAGCAACAGATTTGTCCCCCTTGCGTTGAAACATTACGTAAATATATCTTTTAGATCAATCAATTCAGTTTTTTTTTCTTTCCCTTTCCCATTTTTCTTTTCTTCAGTCAGTGAACCCAAACCACTATTTTATCATGAGATGTCACCAATACACGCTTGAATCGCCTCGCGTGCTTTTATACTCGACGAGTCTATCATTGACTGTCGTCTGTCTACTCTACAGATTTTCAACTCGTCCAATTTCAACTGCTGTGAAATCAATGCAACAGGCACTTTGACCACTGTACCAAACGATTATTTGTCCAGGAGAAACACACCAATGATACATTACAATGGCCAAATAATAGGTTTATGCTGCGACAAGAGACATTATTATGAATCTATAATAATACACCACTTAACGAATTGTTCTTTAATGTCTGGTTTAATAACCAATTATATTTTTTTTTCGTAAGCCAGTTTAGTGGTTATCAATGAAGAAAATGTATTTTTGGACGTATACGTGCACGTCTTAGCTTTAAAAAATTACATCTAACAAACTAAGGACGGAAAAACAAGAGTTCAATGATTATTTGAATATCTTCATCATTATTTGCATATCTATCACGTTGAGACAATTCAAGATAACGATTTATCGAATTTTAAGCCATGTTTAGTAATAAATTCTGAACATTTTTCCACACCTACATATTTGTAGTTCATGCTATAATATGATGTCAAAGTTGGGGAACGTTTTAAACGGTTCTAGAATGTGTGTAAAATTAAGTGTGCAAAAAATTCTTGATGATTCAAAGATTGCAAGAAAGAAATGTGATATGGATGTTCGGTGATCAAACGTACATTAACGTCCCGAGAATAAATCTCAAATTCCTGCCATAAACGTCTATGGTCCTCCTATACCTGGTTCCCCGCTGTCCGCCTTTCCAACTTCTTGTAATGCTGAACGGCAGAGTTTTTTCTATTTATTTTCGAAATTTGCTATGATTATCAGATGAGACACGCCATAAGATGAAATTTAATTAAATTGTTTATTGAGCATTCTAACCCTTTGGCTTTTATCGAAAACTTGTAATTGCTATACGGGTCAAGAAGTTTTGTTTTATAGATGTTTTTCACGCTCGACGGATTTGGTTAACGACAAAATTCAGAACCGTAACTCAAGTAATTGCACAGAAACCTTTTAATCACCCTTAAGGCTAGAGCTAGTCTGGTCAAGGCACTGTATAGATTTATTTCTATATATAGTTTATTTGATACTTCTTCTGCTCATAGAATGAAATCTTTTGAATTAAAATGTTTTAACGTTTTATAATTTAGAGTTCTATAGTTATGAGACAAAAACCTCTTTATCATCTATGGGTCAACGTATTTAAATGTGAATAGCATTTATGTTCAAATCTCCAAACCTTTTAAATATAGTGACAACCGTTTTAAACAGTTAAACAATTGAGCTCATAGAGTCCGCTACTTCGATGTTTGGCAAACTTTCTTTGTAATTAGCGAGAAATAAACGTTAAAAGACAGCTATTCATCAATAGTAAAGTAGCCCTTTAGGGAAGAAATATGAAACAAATGCTTCTCATTACACGTGTAATAATCAATATTTGCCCTTCCTGGTGTAAACTAATAGTTAAAACGTCCCCAATAACACCAAACCAACCAGAAAATAGCTAACAACACAGTTTCACAATATTAGGCAGGATGTTCTGACCATAAAAGATGAAAACAAGATTTGTATTAGCAACGTGAACTCATACAGTGATATCTGGTGTTCTAGAAATACCTCGTGCACGATATATGCCTCTACACACAGCTAATCGGGGGGATAGTTTGGACCTGGTATACCATAGTTTGAGTTCACAGAAATTAAATACGAACCGGATTCAACTACATTTTATTCTAGCATAGTTACAAAACTAATATACTAGATACAAAAAGTCTTGTTTCCGACAGTCGGAACAAATTTGGAATGCAATTAAAGCCTCTGTCATCAGTAATACTAATTTAACCCAGTCTCTCCCGATTGATCCTGAACTTTTCAACAATCACTCTATAAATATAGCTGACAAACTCATAAAGGATAATATCAACAAGTACAATCCTAAAACGGACTGTCTTCTCCAGAACTTCATCAAATCAAAAATATCCATAACTACCGAATTTGACACCTCTTTGATAAAAGTTAATGAAGTATTCAAGGTCTTATAATACACTAGATATGATTATGTCGGTAGGTGTCGACATGGTAAATCCTCGTTTCCCCAAGGTAGGATCATATTGTCTATCAAATAGTTTAACATATATATTTAACGTGTGTATTAAATTACATTATTTCCCCAAAGACTTGTAAAAAGGCAAAGGTGTTGCCGGTTCATAAAAATGGACCAAAAACTGATCCAAATAATTATCGACCAATTTCAATACTTCCAACAATTTCAAAGATACTTGAAAAAAGGTATTCATAGTAATTTTTGCGGCTATCTGAATGAACATAATCTGCTGAATACCTATCAGTCTGGATTCAAAAATAAACATTCTTGTTTGACAGCCCTTACCAATATGACGGAAAACTTTTATTAAGTTCTTAATAGCAACAATCTTATTGGTGCAATCTTTTTCGATTTTAGAAAGGCTTTCGATCTTGTTAACCACAATATTCTCTTAGATAAATATGATTTGTACCAACTTTCAGTCAATACTATTAATATCATTAGTTCTTATTTACATCAAAGTATAATTGCTAATGGAAATACATCTACGTGTCAGCCCGACATACATGGAATCCCACAGGGGTCCAACTTAGGGCCTTTACTGTTCAAGATTTTTATCAACGATCTTCCCCTCCACCTAAAAACCCACGGTGACCTATTTGCCGATGATACTATAGTCTATACTGCTGTATAAATACCAATTCCCTACTCAAATGGTGCCAAATTATCCCTATGCTTGTAAATGATACAAAAACTAAATGTATGGTAATTACTACTAAACGGAAAAGAAAACATGCTAGGCGTAATCATGGATAACCATCTTCAGTGGAATGAACATGTTAAATATGTTTCAAAAATCATTCAGCAAAAATTATTTCATCTTCGCAAATTAAAACAACTTCTATCAGTTAAATTCGGGATTACATGGGACAACTCTGATAAACGTTTTTTCAGACTTATTTCAACACCAGCTAAACTCGCGCTTATGGAACACACTACCAGGTACTCTCAAACACCTGAAATCCGGCAACACCGTCCGCCAGCTAATTAAATATTTAGATGAAAATTAATTCTATCTTGCACTTTGTTCGATTAGCCTGACCTTCATTCAGTCTATATATACATTGTTATTAATTATGCGTTTTTTGGGGTTTTTTGGGGTTTTTTTTGTTTATTCTTCATATTGTCTTTGATCACTGTAAATCCCTTTTAAAGGGGTATGCATATATATCTTCAACTTGTTGGTATTATTAATGTATAAATGGCTATCTCTTTTTCTATCTTATTAATTTATATATTGTTCTTGTTGTTTAAAGGGCACAATCTAAAGATTGAAAATTTAGTCCCAACCAGTTAAGAGAGAGGTATTTAGAAAAGAGAAGTATCCCCTAAAGGCTTTCTTTGAAAACACATGTCATCTGTGAATGTGGGTCCATCACATCCATGCCTATTAAAATATAACATCGCCAATCCTCGTGAATAATCAAAGTCCTGAATACAAAATGACAAATAACAGTCGAGTATCGCGGACATACGGACTCAATGCCCACCCCATTCGAACGATTAAGCAACATACACTTCATGTATGTCTGAAAACCTCAATGCTTCTTCCACGCTGAGATTTCATCCACCCGATATACTCTAGCACCTTTTCCACAACACAATACAAACACTGGTATAAAAGTTATGGGACAGAGTACAAAATAACATTTTAGTCCAAAAGCTATATGGACTTTAAAGGAGCTAAATCACTATTGTATTGCAACTAGAAATGGGCACTAATGGGTTTCAATGCATGTCAAAATGTAATATGAATATATATATAAACTGATTTACATTCAATCGCTTCGGTTTTTACTGTAATTTCTAGGGGGGTTGGATGGCTGAATGGTTAGCGTGCGCGCGCTGTATCATAAAAGTCTGTCATTGAGTCGACTGGCGTGGTTTCGAATCCCCAGTTGTACGTGACAAAGAGTAGGGTCGCCTGTCCAACCTCGTGGGTTTTCTCCGGGTCCTCCGGTTTCCTCCCACTGCTAAAGACCCCTACGCGCAAGCGAATTATTGAAATAAAATTAAACCATATGTTAGTCCCGAAATGACCTAGTTTGTGTCGAGTGGATGTTAAACCCCATTTCTCTCTCTCTGTAATTTCTAATTAATTACGTTCGGCAAAATACGCGAAGAACCTAAATTGAATGGCATTCGTTGGCATCTGGTTTTTCCAGTATACACATCTAGTATTCTCCTGGGGATATGTTTAGCCTCGTTCATCGAGTCACTTCACTACAAATGGCGCTCGAAAGCATTTAGACACGCAATTCGTGTGCCAATCTTAAAATGTTCATTTTGTCTTAAATATTGGATATGAGAAGCCCATCCTTTCATGGCAAGATAATAACATCAATGTTGATTTGAATTTGCCTCCTTTAAGCGTGGCATTCGATCGGGAACTTATAGTTTCGTGTCCTTAAACCTACAAATTGAAAGCGGCGCCCTCATGAAAATCTCTATTTTAGCCATCGTATGTCTACTCTCATAAAACTTCTCATGCGAGGAGTTCATATAGCTAACAAAAAAATATTTTACTTTTAATTACCTATATGACTGCTTTAAAAATAAAAATGTAAACAAAATTGGAATTTCACTAAAGTTGATCCAAACAACATTTTTTCAAATAAATAAGTTTAACCACTGACTCTAACTGTGTCTTTTAAAGTATCTAAACGCGATAAAAGGCAGTTTTTACGGTAGGATTCTGAAATCCAGGACCAAAACATCGCCCCAAATGTTAGCCTTCGATCCGGATTCATGAAAAGGGAAATCTGTATGTCTTACGGTTTCTATGATAAAAGACATCGTCGATTTAAAATATGTAAAAATCTTATTCAATGTGCGGTTAGATCCTAGTTTCAATCCAGAAATTTTAACCAATATTGCATATGAATGGACATGGTAGGCAAAATTTCCCTCATAACACACTGCATGGCGTATGACCGTCTCCATTAGCCCAGTCGGAGCAGAACAGTAGGAGTTTAAACCCCATTCCATTTCATTTAATTCCATTCGTTCTTGGATTAAACGGTGTAAGAAATTCTGATTTGAAGAATATTTATGTAAATTTTCGGGTTAAATTGTGGACTATTTTAAATAATTATCCTTTAGCTGCGGCAACATACAACAAACTTATCTTGATCTTACTAGGTTGCTGCCATTCTCTTTACACTATTTATTATAGCACACAAACCGTAATGAAACAAAAGACGTTACTAAACAATTCGATTTTCGAAACCTTTCAGTTTTCAGCCGTTCCTTCAAATGAATAAACTATGTATTCATTTTTGGTGGCTATTATCAGACTTCAAACTGAAATCTCAAAGCACACCAACACCAAGTGATTAGAATAATGAATGAATGGGGTTTAACGTCCCACTGTTCTGCACCAACCGGGATAATGAAGACGGGCATACACCACGCAGTGTGCTATGATGGAAATTTTGTTCGGACAGCAATTGAATTCCAACTGTCAAGGTTTCGTTTATGTGCACGCGAACCTATACATGAGACATCGGTTTTCCATACCATCCGAACGACTAGACACTTTTTCTTGGCAGTCTCTCCGTCCTGAACTACTGACAAGGGGAAACCACGATGGTCGAGACCCGGATGTCTTGTTTAAAGAACCAGCGCCTTACTCACTGAGCCACCAATTGATTTGACTGACAAAATAATGTCCGCGACGGACTTACAGACGTAAACAACTATATTAATTAAAACTTTATTAGCTGGAATGATGAGAAAATAGTTGCGCATCTCTCAAAGACATATAAAATTGATTTTAAAAGATAGATGGGGCCTTATTTGTAAAGTTCTTGGACACAATCTTGTTACCTGCATCTCATACTCCTCGCAGAGTTTCGTTTAATTAGACTTAATCCCACCCAAACATTGCTGTAATAAGAGCAAATTTCTGTTCCAAATTATGACTGATCAATAGTCCGATTAACAACGTTCGGGTTTACAA